CTCACACCCATCTCCTGTGTGAAACGGCCTTCTTTGCCCCATTGGGAATCTCAGGTCCTGCTGACCCTGAGGCTCCAGAGTTATCTGCCCAGGGTTCAGGTAGGGCCTGGGCCAGGAGGGGCTGGATGTGGGCGGCCGGAGAGACAGGTCGAACACATCTTGGCTAAGCTCAGCCCCACCTTTTGTCCTGGGGCCTGAGATTCCACATCTTGGGTGCCTGGTGCCTGGAGGGGCTGCCTACAAGTTCAAGCTTGGTGTCCAGAGACAAATCTCCACAATGCGCTGCAGCTGGGGTAAGAGTTAGTGTGCAGCCTCCACAATTATTTTAAGTGCCTACAACGTGCCAAACACAGTAAAAGACTGTTGTAAAGGGCTGGGTCTATTGAGAGAGGGCTCCCAAGTCCCAGAATCAGGAGGAAGCTCCCCCAGAGGTTGGCATGTCCTGGCCATATCAAGATCTTGGGACTTGGAGAGAACCAAGATGGCGGCATAGGTTAACGCCGGAGTTTGCTGCCTCGAACAACCACTTCAAAAATACAACTAAAAGACGGAACAGACATCATCCAGAACCACAGGAAGGCTGGCTGAGTGGAAGTTCTACAACTAGGAGGAAAGAGGAAACCATACGAGACTCAGAGGAGGCGCAGTGCTGAAGTGAAATACTAAGGTGCGGAGTGCATGTGGAGCGGGCCGGTGGCGGAGGGCGCGGTTGTTGTTTTCAATCGGGAGGGAGTTTCAGACTCTGAGCTCCAGATCTGGGCGAGTCTCTAGGGACCCAGACTCAAACAGGAGAAGCGGGAAGGCAGCTTTCTCTCCGAGGTTTGCAGCGGTTGCAGAGCCACTGGGGACGGAACTGAGAGCAGCCATAACTGCTCGCTCCACTCGCCCTGTAGATCCCCTGGGACCCGCCCTGCCCAAGCCCTGCACAGAGGCATTTGCCGGATTGCCTCAGGCAAAGGCTAGATTAGCACTGCCCTAGAGATCCAGCTCAGAAGCTCTCCCACTGCAGACACAGCTGACTCTCATAGCCAGTTATCCTGGAGGTCAATTTACCCCCAGTATTGCTGACAACAATCAAGGCTTAACTACAACAAGACTGCCCACAAAGACCACAAGGGGGTGCACCAAGAATGCATAAAAAATGCAGAGACAAAGAAACATGACAGAAATGGAGGATATAGAGCTAAAAAACGCACTTTTAAGGTCTTTCAATAATCTTCTAGAAATTGCCGATAAACTTGATGAGAGCCTCAAGAAATCTAATGAGACCCTCGATATTGTGATAAAGAACCAACTAGAAATTAAGCATACACTGACTGAAATAAAGAATATTATACAGACACCCAACAGCAGACCAGAGGAGCGCAAGAATCAAGTCAAAGATTTGAAATACGAAGAAGCAAAAAACAGCCAACTGGAAAAGCAAAATGAAAAAAGAATCCGAAAATACGAAGATAGTGTAAGGAGCCTCTGGGACAGCTTCAAGCGCACCAATATCAGAATTATAGGGGTGCCAGAAGATGAGAGACAGCAAGATATTGAAAACCTATTTGAAGAAATAATGACAGAAAACTTCCCCCACCTGGTGAAAGAAATGGACTTACAGGTCCAAGAAGCGCAGAGAACCCCAAACAAAAGGAATCCAAAGAAGACCACACCAAGACACATCATCATTAAAATGCCAAGAGCAAAAGACAAAGAGAGAATCTTAAAAGCAGCAAGAGAAAGAAACTCAATTACCTACAAGGGAATACCCATACGACTGTCAACTGATTTCTCAACAGAAACTTTGCAGGCCAGAAGGGAATGGCAAGAAATATTCAAAGTGATGAATAGCAAGAACCTACAACCAAAATTACTTTATCCAGCAAAGCTATCATTCAGAATTGAAGGTCAGATAAAGAGCTTCACAGATAAGGAAAAGCTAAAGGAGTTCATCACCACCAAACCAGTATTATATGAAATGCTGAAAGGTATCCTTTAAGAAGAGGAAGAAGAAGAAAAAGGTAAAGATACAAATTATGAACAACAAACATGCATCTATCAACAAGTGAATCTAAGAACCAAGTGAATAAATAATCTGATGAACAGAATGAACTGGTGATTATAATAGAATCAGGGACATAGAAAGGGAATGGACTGACTATTCTTTGGGAGGAAAGGAGTGTGGGAGATGCGGGAAGAGACTGGACAAAAATCGTGCACCTATGGATGAGGACAGTGGGTGGGGAGTGAGGGCGGAGGGTGGGGCAGGAACTGAGAGGAGGGGAGTTATGGTGGGAAAAAAGAGGAACAAATGTAATCTGAACAATAAAGATTTAATTTAAAAAAAAAAAAGATCTTGGGACAAAGGGGACCCCGAGTCTCCCTCCAGGTCAGGGCTGTGCAGAGAGGCCTGGAAGAAAACCTCCGAGGCCTGGTAATGGCCAGGCCTCCTCCTCTCGCCTTCCCCCACCTCGGTTTTCAGAGGAAGCTGGCCAAATTCCTATGCCACTGCACATGTCCAGTGGCCTCCAGAGCTGTGAGACAATATATCTCCATTGTTTTAAGCCCCCAGTTTATGGTGCTTTGTTACAGGAGCCCTAGGAAATGGATGCGGGATGATATTGGGGTATAGCATGCAAATGTGTTTTGGCCTCACTAATCCTGGCTCCTGGATGACCCCTTTATCTAAGAGCCAAGCCTTGGAGGAGGAGTCCTCAAACTTTTTAAACAGGGGGCCAGTTCACTGTCCCTCAGATCGTTGGAGGGCCGGACTATAGTTTCAAAAAAACTATGAACAAATTCCTATGCACACTGCACATATCTTATTTTGAAGTAAAAAAACAAAACAGGAACAAATACAATATTTGTATTTGCATGTGGCCCGCGGGCCGTAGTTTGAGGACCCCTGCTTTGGAGGGTTTGGTTCTCCACAGCAGAGAATACAGTGCCCCTGGGAGGAGGCACTGTGACACAGGAGGCTCCCTGCTAGCGAGCAGAGGGAAGCCCGCTGGAAATGAGAAAGGGAGAAGCAGTGGAGAGAGATGTGAAGCCCCACATTCACTCCTCAGGGCTGCGCCTTGGGCTGGATAGAAGGGGCCTTGGAAAACAAGAGTTACAACCAACTCACACCATACACAAAAATAAACTCAAAATGGATAAAGGACTTAAACATAAGACGGGAAACCGTTATAAAAATACTAGAGGAATCCACAGGCAGAAAAATCTCAGGCATATGCCGAAGCAATTTCTTCACTGATACTGCTCCTAGGGCAATGGAAACTAAAGAGGAAATAAACAAATGGGACTACATCAAAATAAAAAGCTTCTGCACAGCAAAAGAAACCATCAACAAAACAAAAGAAAGCCCACTGCATGGGAGAACATATTTGCCAATGTTATCACCGATAAGTGTTTAATCTCCAACATTTACAGGGAATTCATACAACTTGACAAAAGGAAGATAAACAACCCAATCAAAAAATGGGCAACGGACCTAAATAGATACTTTTCGAAAGAAGACAGAAGAAAGGCCAAAAGACATATGAAAACATGTTCAAAGTCACTAATCATCTGAGAGATGCAAATGAAAATGACAATGCGGTACCAACTCACACTTGTCAGACTGGCTATCATCAACAAATCAACAAACGACAAGTGCTGGTGAGGATGTAGAGAAAAAGGAACCCTCCTGCACTGCTGGTGGGAATGCAGACTGGTGCAGCCACTGTGGAGAACAGTATGGAGTTTCCTCAAAAAACTAAAAATGGAACTCCCATTTGACCCAGTAATCCCACTTCTAGGAATATATCCCAAGAAGCCAGAAACACCAATTTAAAAGGATATATGCACCCCTATGTTCATAGCAGCACAATTCACCATAGCTAAGATTTGGAAACAGCCTAAGTGCCCATCAGTAGATGAATGGATTAGAAAACTGTGGTACATCTACACGATGGAATACTATGCTGCTGTAAAAAAGAAGGAACTCTTACCATTTGCAACAGCATGGATGGAACTGGAGAGCATTATGCCAAGTGAAATAAGCCAGTCAGAGAAAGATAAATACTACAGGATCTCACTCATTTATGGAATATAATGAACAACATAAACTGATGAACAAAAACAGATCCAGAGACAGAGAAGCATCGATCAGACTGTCAAACCTCAGAGGGAAGGTAGGTAGGGGAGTGGGAGGGTAAGGGGGAGAGATCAACCAAAGGACTTATATGCAAGCATATAGGCCTAACCAATGGACACAGACAACAGGGGGGTGAACAAATGAGTTGGGGAGGTGGGGATTGGGGGTAACGTGGGGATAAGGACACATATGTAATAACTTATACAATAAAAAATTTTAAAAAAAAAAGAAAACAAGAGTTACAGAGACCTCCAGGAACCCAAGCCTGAGTCCACCTCCTACCACTCTGGCAAGCCCCCGCCGAGCACGGCGCTGTGGGTACCATGGAACAGCAGCGGTGGCCGCTCTGGCTCTCCACAGGTCGCAGTGCTTGTGTCCAGAGTCCACACGTTCCCCAGAACAGGATGTGGAGCTGCCGAGAGGGCTGGTCGCCCAGCAGAGGCCTTGACAGGTACCTCTGGGCCAGAGGGGGACAATGAGCTCAGAATGATGAGGAACTCCAAAGCCAGACCGTGTCAGAGCCAGGCCAAAGTGCCATTCGCCACGCTTCCAGGTCTCCCTTGCACAAGAGCCAGACAGGGTATAAATACAGGAGTCCCTGCGGTGACAGTGATGGAGGACAGACACACAGCACAGGCAGGAGACAGACAGATGGCTGCTGGTCTCACTCTTGTGGGGGGTTGAACCAAGTTCCACAGCTCACCCCAGCATCATTACCCAACCAATACTTCACCTATCTCGGGCCAGACAGCTGCAGCCCATGCCCTGTGGGAGGGACTCTCCTCCCTGCACCCCGCCCGGGGAAACATGACCCGATCAGAGAGCGAGCCTGGTGCCCAAGGGGGCGCGGGACACAGCCCAAACTCATGGACTCCAACATCTGTGAACATTTATTTTCTTTTCTAGGCCTCTGGTGAAGAAGGTCAACGTCACCACACAGGCAGAGCGCGGACAGCCAGGGGAAGTGCTTATCCTCTGGGCCTGGCAGGGGACAGACAGGACCCGGTCGTCCTGCCAGAGGACAGCAGAGAAGGCTGAGCTGCCTCAGCACCTGACGTGAAAGCCCTTCTTCACAGAGCACAGAGGGCGTCCTTCAGAGGCTGGGAGACCTGCTTCAGGGAGGAGGCGACCAGCGTGGGCATTGCCAATCTCTGCAGGGTGTGCCTGGATGCCTGGGACAGGACTGAGTGGGCCGACTGGGCCATGGAGGCTGACTAGGGCCGCTGCGAGGCAGAGGAGGACTGGAGTCCTGGGGGGGTGAACCTGCTGGTCAGGAACCCAGAGCCTGAGACTGATGAGAACAAGGAAGAGAGGGAGATGTTAGTGTGCATGCTGGCCGTCTCCTTGCTGGGATGCAGGTCCCTCGAGACATTGTGGGTCACCGTGCGGATCAGCCGGCCTTGCTGGTCTATGACCTTAGGTATCATGAAGTCAGGCTGGTGGGTGGGTGCCAGTTCATTGAAGTACAGGTTTTGGTAGATCTGAGGTGAGATCTGTGGGGAACAGAGCAGGGGCGTGTGGGAACAGGCAGGGGGCACCAGGACCCAGAGCAGGCTCCCAAGAAGGATGGGCCCTGGGGTCTTCCCAGGCCAAAGAAGTCTCCAGGGTACTCTGGTTGTCACTGATGGCCACGGCCTGCTGGGCCCACAAGCCCACTGTGCCTGAGGCTCGTCAGCCCTCCTCCTGGTGCTGGCAACCATCCTGTGAGGTTGGCACTGGACTGTCCCCATCTTAGAATGAGACCTCAGGCTGGACCCTGAGTGGGGCTCAGGCACAAGGAGCTCCCAGACGTGCTCCCACACCTGACATTAGCACTTGCCAAGATGCACTTTGAGTCCCATCTCCAGTAGAGGGTAGGGAGGCCAAGCGGTCCCTTTTCACATGACCTTCCGCCAGCCCGGGACAGAGAGTTACCTCACTTATTCTGAGTCCCCGCCACAGAGGCTGGGAGCTCCCGTAAAGCCCCTCTGGCAGAGAAGGAGGGAGAGGCTAAGAGAGGATGGGATCTGCCCAAGTAAGAGACAGGATGGGGCTCAAAGTGGGTCTCTCCCAAGTCTCCACTCCTTTCTCTCCCCAGGAGAGCCCCCTTCCATCCCCTCTGCCTCTCACTGACCGTGCTCCTGTCACCATCACACCTGTGCCTGCTCAGGAGGAGCCCACAGTATGGAGACACGCACAGTAAACACACTAACCAACTAATAGCCAGACTCTGGGAGATGCTTTGAAGGCTGTGGACAGGTGCCAGGCCCAAAGGAGGACATCCTCCCATAGACCCAATGAGGCTTGTCCTCAAGGACAAAACCTGTGTCCGTGGTTTCAACCAGAGCCTTGAAAACAATTTCCTGCTGAAATTGTCCTGCTCAGAATTCCATGAAAGGACCGATGCTCCCCTCACCCCACTGGAGGCCCCTGTGGGCACTGACGGAGCCTCCAGCCCCAGCGTCTCAGGGAGCAGCCCCACCCCGCCGCACCTGGTGCTTCATCAGGCCATACTGCACATTGGTGGACAGGAGCCCAGGACTCCGCAACCGCTCCTTGGGCTTGTACGCCGCTCCCAGAATTTTGCTCACCTGCAAGAGTCATGGGCAAGAGTGAAGGCCCAGGACTGAGAGCTGTGGGCCCATCACACCCCCGTGTCCCCTATCGAGCCTGACCTGCTTGTCCTTGGACTCCCACTTGTGCCAGGTGTTCTCAATATCCTTCAGGGAGCGCTCTCCAGCCCATGGGGACGTCAGGGTTATCTTCTGCAGCTTGGCCCAAGCTTCTGCCTCCGTGTCTGCCTTTCCATTCAGGAGAGCCAGGAGTGCCACCTCCTCCCGCCGCTGGTACACCAGGGCCTCAGCAAAATCCTGCTCCTCCCTAATGTGAGGGGCTTTCCTTCAGAAGATGCCCTGCACACCACAGGTCAGGGAAGCCCCCCCCAGGAACCCCAGGAGGGTTTCTGCCTCCTGGGATCTGATCCTCTCCAACCTTCTTATTCCTCCCATGAGGCAGTATGCCCAGGGTACATCACTTGACGTTAGCAAAGGCCCAGATTACACGGGTTCCCAACAAGTCCCTGTGATTCTTTCCCATGACCCTTCTGCTCTCCCCCGTGGGAGGGTCTGACAGCCCCATTCCTGACCTTACCTATACTTTCCCCTTTTGGAATAAAAATTCTCTCCCCAGGGAGACCTTGCCTCTGCCTTGTTTGATAATCCTTCCCATAGGACTATAAAGATGCACGCCTTTGCCGGAAACTTGGACCCACCAAGGACTCCTATGGGTGCCCTGAAAAAATCCTGTCTTTACATGTCAAAAACCAACTCCAAAAATCTTCTTTCTCCTATGAAGCCTTCCTTAGTTAATCCACCCAATCAGAAGACTGTCCTCAGCCATCCCTGTTTGTTTGTTTTTTAATATGTTTTTACTGATTTTAGAGAGGAAGGGAGAGGGAGAGATAGAAACATCAATGATGAGAATCATTGATCAGCTGCCTCCTGCACACCCCACAATGGGGATCAAGCCTGCAACTCAGGCATTTGGCCTGACTGGGAATCAAACCATGACCTCCTGGTTCATAGGTCAATGCTCAACCACTGAGCCACGCCGGCCAGGCCCCAGCCCTGTTCTTAATATCCATCACTTATCACATAGAATAGCAGCCATGAGTTTGCATGTCCACCTCCCAGTGCACTGTGAGTTATCAGAAGCAGGACTCATGCTTGGATTGTTTGGGATCTCTAGAACCTAGTACAGGGCCTGGCAACCAGCAGGGCCTTAATAAGTAATTTTTGAATAACCCAAAATTATCCAAGATTTGGTCAGGGAGAAGGGTAGAGCATGGGTGGAGGAGGAGGAGGAACCTGTAGAGGAAAGAACAAGTAGCAAGCCTCCTGCCTTTCCCATGACTCAGAAAAAGAATCCAGTGTCTGTTCAGGACCAGAGCCCTGGGCTCTCTCCTGCCAGGGCCCCGTGGCCACACAGAAATGGCGCCTGCAGGGAAGCCAGCACTGGCAAATCTGAATCTGGCTCTGGGGCAGGGTCCCATCTAAGGACATGGGTTTTTATGTGGCAAATCTTTCAGCTGAGCTGAGCTGAAAGAACAGAGCCTCGGGCTCTTCGGCCACAGCTGCCACCTATGGAGTCAAGTTTCCAGCAGGTCCCAGGCCTTTGGCCTTCCAGGGCTTTTCCCTGAATGTGCCCAGCACCACCCAATCCAGGTGAGGTTGCCTGGGACCTGGAGAGGCTCCCAGCACCCCCTCCTTGGGCCAGAGGAAACCAGGTAACTCACGGCAGCCCTGAATAGGTCTTCTTGGAGGCATATATGGATTCACTCTTTTTCTTTAAGTTTTTACGTAGTTCATTGTCATCAAGATTCTGGACATCCTTCAGCCGGCTCCAAACTTTCAGGCCAAATGTCCCTGTGATTTAATCAGACCCAACTCAGTAACAATGACTGGCCTAGCCTCCCCGACTCTGAACCTCTGCCCCTCACCCTCCACCCTCGAGTCAGTCAGCAATCCCTTATGCCTGTCCCACACTTCATGATGCCCACCATATGTCAGGCATGATGCTGGCTACTCAACAAATATCTGAAGGAATCAGACACTAGCCCTAGTGTATACTTGGAGCTCAGGCCTAAGGCATCCTGCCCCACGTGTAGGAGAGAGTACTGTGGCAAGGACTGAGTGATCCTCATTTGGGTTTCAAGTAGTTCATGTATGAAATGGCAATGATCCAAAATGATCAGGTGTACCAGACATGGGGCTGGGGAGGAAGAGGCCTGGAGTAGAAAGCAGGTAGTGGGCACAGAGAAACATGAGTCCTACTACTTCTGGGCAGGGGGCAGGGTATAGTCATAGGCCATTACCCTACTGCAGAATTGTTTTTAATTAAGAAAAACAAAACAGGTATGTTACAAAACCATATTTCTATAAAACCATTGGAAAGCTGTAGAAGCAAAGAAAATAGATGAACTAAATTTACAGAAAAAAAAAATGTCTTTCCAAGAAGAACTGAAATCAGGAGCTGCTTTCTTTTCTGGGAACATTTTCTGAATCTGGACACAGGCTAGGGTGAGAATCAGGCTCAGCTTAGCAGAAGGAAGCTACAGGAAGGAAGAGAAACCAGCAGAGCCTCTGACAGCCATTCTGGCTGGCATGATGGATTAAGTTCAGGGGAGTTCCAAATGCATAGTTCTTTTTCCCACCGGACACTTACTTAGTACGGGGGGAGTTGAGGGTCTAGAGCAGGGGTGGGCAAACTTTTTGACTCGAGGGCCACAATGGGTTCTTAAACTGGACCGGAGGGCCAGAACAAAAGCATGGATGGAGTGTTTGTGTGAACTAATATAAATTCAAAGTAAACATCATTACATAAAAGGGTACGGTCTTTTTTTTTTTAGTTTTATTCATTTCAAACGGGCCGTAGTTTGCCCACGGCTGGTCTAGGGTTAGGCTAGAAAGACAGAGTGAGATCATTGGGAGACAGTGTCCCACTGGAGGAAGAAGCCTATAACAAACACAACAGACTTCACCCCAGAGACAACTGAAGACAGAAGTAAGGTCAGTCTATCTAAAGATGCAGATCAGTCCCAACCCAGCTCAGTTCCTGATTGCACTGAGATGAGCAGCCCTATACACAGAAAAGAGCAAATGTAATGGAGGAAAATCATTACCAACTTTACTCTCTACGTCCTTTATACAAAGTTGAGAAAAGTTTTATTTTGAAGTATTTCTGTTTGGGGTTTTTTAATGCCTATGACATGTGAAAAGATAGGAAAATGTAATCAATAATCAAAAGAAGAAATAGGCATTAGAATCAGACCCACAGATAATTTAGACATTGGAGTTAGCAGATAATCACTTTAAAATAACTATTATAAATAATGTTAAAAAAAATAAAGGAAGATATAACAAAATGGAGGAAGAAAGGGGAGAGAATTTCAACAGTGAATTGGAATCTATAGAAAAGGACCAAATTGGTATTCTAGAACTAAAAAATATAAAAATACAAGAATTAATCAGATAGATTTAGTAGCAGACTGCATATAGGAGACAGAGTTAATAAACTGGAAGGCAGGTCATAGAAAAGATCCAGACTGGAGTGGAGAGATTGAAGAAAAACTGGGGATGAAAGTTTCGGTGGAGAGTCACAGACATGGTGGCCATAGGGTCAGAGTATGTGCCTTGGATGGATGGTATAGAGTTAAAACTAATGGGAAAGCTGACAAGCGCGCCTGCAGGTCTGATATGTGCATCTATAAGTGTGCACGCAGCCAAAGAAAAGAAATTCATACAGCCGCTAATGAGACCAGAGAAGCTCCCCAAATATACTTCACCGCCTCTCCAGTCTAAAGATGCTGAAGAGCAGCCTGGAAATTTACAAATGGGCTTTGCCTCCATCCGCACTACAACTGGTTGTTATATTGGCCGGTGCAAGCATGTTTATGTCTTTGTGAAATATGGGATAATAGAGACAGTTCAATTTGGAAAAGATGCATATGTTTATCTGAAGATTCCACCATGAGATTTTCTTCTGGAAATTGCAGTGATTACAGTTTCAGGATTGGTAGGCTTGGTTTCAGCAAGAAAAGGTTCTAGATTTAAGAAAATAGCTTATCCATCAGGACTGGCCACTTAAGTAACAGCTGTTTGTTACCCAGTTGAGTCCGTAATAATTGCAAAGGTAACCTGGAAAAGGGCATATGGTATGTGCCAGCAAATTTATGAAGCAGTTAAATCATTGTACACACAAAAACAACAAAAAAGTCACTTCCTGAATCTAAAGGAAAAACTAAGCTGGGAAGTTATGCTGAAACAGAAATACCTGTAAAAACAGCTCACTACCTGAAATATTCAATGGCTTTGTCAACAGAACTAAGATCTGAAACGAAGACCAAATCAGAGTCCACCTCAGGTGCTACGCAGTTTATGCCTGACCCCAAGCTCATGGATCACAGGCAGTCCCATCCAGAAGATGTAGATATGTACAGCACTAGAAGCTGAAATCGTGTACATAGAGAACTACAAGATGTGTGAAATTTCAAATAATAATGGGGGGAATCATGTCATGGGTATTTGTGACACATACAGCATAACTTAAAGCAAATGTATCCCTTACATCTTCTAATGTATAGTTTGACCAATCACATAAGTGATTAAAACACAAACAGCAAATACAATCCAAACAATATTAAATGATTGGTGAAGAGACAGAGGTAGTAGTATTAGGATGCATTTGATGACTTAAGGGTGTTTATAAACAAAAATATAGAGTAAATATATGTATGTGTATATCTCAGTGCTTGTACACACATATACTTGCTTTAGCTTTTTCTAATTAATATCAGCTAAATTAGAATGGTTTGTGAAAGGATTTGTTCCCTGTCCTCTTTTTTCATTTCCCAGAGCTGTAATAAAATATGCATATTTTATGACAAAAAAAAACAAAAGAAAGAAAAAATGGAAAGAACAGAGCATGCGCGACACGTCAGCTGTCAAATGTTCTAATATGCACGTAATTGGAACCACACAATGAGAGGAGAAAGAGAACGGGCAAAAGAAATATTGAAGGGATCATATCTGAGGATTTTTCAAAATGAATGAGACTCCAGATTGAAAAAGATCAGCGAACTCCAAGGAGGATAAATACAAATGAAATCACAACTTGGCACATCATAGTCAAACTGCCAAAAAAAAAAAAAAAAGCAGTCAGAGAAAAAAGAAAAATTACCTTCAAAGTATCAACTTACAACTGACTTTTCAAGAGAAAACAGAAGACAATGGAATGGTCTTTAAGTATTGAAAGAAAATAAACTGTCAGCTGAGAATTCTATGTCCAGTAAAATAATAAACTTTTAAGGCAAAATAAGGACGTTTTCAGAAAAATAAGAGCTTAAAGAATTTATCACTAGCAGATCAGCTCTATAAAAAAATAATAAAGAAAGTTCTTCAGACTAAAGGAAAATGATTGCAGACAGAACCCTAGAACTTCAGGAAGGAACGAAGAGCAGGAGAAATGGGAAATGTGAGGGTAAATATTACTGCTTACAGTAACATTACGAACAATGCCTTGCTGGAAGTCGTAACATCTGTAGAAGTAAAACGTATGGGAGCATTAGCACAAACAACAGGAAACGGAATGTAAGGTTCTTGCATAGGAAGTGTATAAGGTCAAGAGTGCATATTATTATCTAAAGGGTAACCACTTAAAGAATAATTCAAAGACATATCATTAAAAACTAACAGAGGAATAAAACAGGATAATTTTTTAAATGGTTGATTAATCCAAAAGAAGACCAAAAAAAGAAGAAAGAAAGAACAGATGGAATAAACAGAAAAAAAATATCAGATGATAGACTTAAACCATGAAAGTAATTTCATTAATATTTAAATGGATTAGACATCCAATTAAAAGGCAAAGATGGTCAACAGAATAATAAAATAAGGCTCAGTATAAAGAATCAAGAATACAAAGAATATTCAAGAATATAAAGTATATTGACCTGGCTGGTGTGGCTGTTGGTTGGGCATCACCCCATGCACCAAAAGTTTGCCGGTTTGATTTCCAGTCAGGTCACATGCCAGCTGTGGGCTTGATCCCCAGTAGGGACATGCAGGAGGCAGCTGATAGATGTTTCATTCTCACATCGATGTTTCTCTCTCCCCCTCCCCTCCTCTCTCTCTAAAAATCAATTTTAAAAAAATCTTTTTAAAAAAAAAAATAAAATGAGAAATTTCATCGTAGAACAGAAATAAATTTAAAATATTTTTAAAATGTAAACCCGTAAGGTTTACATGGGTGAAAATTCAAGAAAACCTAAGTGAACTTAAGAAAGTAATAATCCTGTGATAGGAGAAAAGAGACCAATATAATCCAAGGAGGATGAATCCTCCATAGACAAGATGAGAAGAAACCAGATGAATTTTTAATGAACTTTAAACAACCTCATATGGCATGACAGATTATAATCCAGAAGATTCCAGCCACAGAGCAAGTCTGCAGCTACTACCAAGCGCTTTGAAAGACTGTTTAGCAGTATCTACTGAGACTCAATGTATATACCCTGTGGTCCGGCAGTTCCAGTCCTAGATATATATCCAACAGAAATGCATACATTTGTTCACCAAAAAAATCTGTGTAAGAATATTCATAGCAGTGTTATAGTTAATAGAACAAAAGAGCCAGAAACAACTCCAATGACCACCAACAGTAGCACAGATGAAGAAATTATGGTATATCAACAACCAATTACTATTGAGCAATGAGAACAAATGAACTACTACCTTCAACAAATGGCTGAATTGCACAAACAATAATGTTGAAAGAAAGAAGCCAGACACAAAGGCTTTGTCGCATTGTTTCATTTATACAAAGTTCAAAACCAGACAAAACTAATCTCTGTATTTGGAAAATAGGATAGTGGTTGCTTTTGGAGGGGTAGGTAGAGATGGTCGGGTTGGGGGTGAGGGGAGCCCCAACGACTGGTAATGTTCTGTTTTTTTATATAATGGAGGCTGTATGGGTATAAACTTTGTGAAAATTCACCAAGATGAACCTCTAGATTTGGGTACTTTTCTGCATGTTATCATGTAAGAATTACATTTATTTTTAAGAAGAGAAAGGAATATATCTTATCAGATGTATGATTTGCAAAAAAATACAAAGACAATTAATAATGTGAGTGGGTGGATGGGTGGACAGATAGTTGATGGATGGATGGACAGACTGCCGAATGTGCAATTGAATGGATTCATATCCTGTAATACTATTTAACAAAGAAAGCTGCTGTGGTCTGAAACCCCCATCCCATGGGTTATAAGGTTTAAGTCAATTTATGTTCTAACAGGGACAGGGACAGGAAGGGCCATGGGGATGGCTGAACTTCAGCAGGACCCATACCAACGGCATCGCCGGAGAGTCTCCAAGCCTTGATGTCCCGGTCGTGGCCAGCACTAATCACCAACTCATAGCTGTCCACATACAGGATGTCTGCCACACTATCCAAATGGCCCTTCCAGGTCGCCAGAAGCATGGGGGGAGCCAGGGAAATGGTCTGGCCATCCACGACCTACAGGAGACCGTACAATTACTTATAGCAAGACCATCACATAGGCTCATCAGAGGGCACCCAGGGCTAGCGAGACAGAGCCCTCAGGAAGGACCTAGGACAGGGGCCAGGCCTAGTTCTAGACACACTCCTACGTGAACTTCTGGTGACCTTAGTTAAGTTCCTGCACTTCTTTGGCCCTCACTGACCCTTTGGTAAAATCATAAAAAGCATTTACATAACGCTATATTATTCTTAATGTTTTCATTAATTTCAGAGAAAGGAAGGGAGAGGGAGAGAGGGATAGGCATAAATGTTGAGAGAGAATCATTGATCGGCTGCCTCCTGCACACCCCCTTGCCCCCCGACTGGGGATCGAGCCCACAACTGGGCATGTGCTCTGACCGGGAATCAAACCCTGACCTCCTGGTTCATGGGTCGATGCTCAACTACTGAGCAACACTGGCCAGGCATATTACTACATTACTTACCAATACCCTCCCTATGGATTATTCCATTTGAACACAACAACCTTATGGGATGTGTATGAGTCTCACCATTTCACAAAGAAGAGAAGTGAGTCAGAAATGTTCAGTAACCAGCCCAAGCCACATGCCGAGACAAGACCCCAGGTTTTCTAAAGTTATTCATTTGGGCATTGGTAGTAGAATAGGGTTAGTGGGGGATGAGATATTATGTTATAGTATGAAAAAATAAACTCTTCTTAACAGGGAAATGAGTGAAAATATCCAAGACCGCCGAAACCGGTTTGGCTCAGTGGATAGAGCGTCGGCCTGCGGACTGAAAGGTCCCAGGTTCGATTCCGGTCAAGGGCATGTACCTGGGTTGCGGGCACATCCCCAATGGGAGGTGTGCAGGAGGCAGCTGATCGATGTTTCTCTCTCATCGATGTTTCTAACTCTCTATCCCTCTCCCTTCCTCTCTGTAAAAAATCAATAAAATATATATTTTTTTTAAAAAAAGAGATTAATGAAGGGGGACATATTTTACCATATGTTAAGTCACAATAGTACAAACTTTAAACAAAACAATGGAAGACAATAGAGAGCTCAAAAACCAACCCAAATAAAACTTTGGTCTATGATAAAAGTGGCAGGAAAGCTGTGGTAATACAGAGCAGGACCCAGTAAGCTGTGCTGGAATACCTGATGAACTACTAAGAGAAACTTAAATTATTGTCATATATCTTACAACTAAATAAACTGTAGATGGGTCAAAGAATTATTTTCAATGAAACCATAAAACTTCTAAAAGAAACTATGACTGAATATTTATCTTACCTCTGAATAAGCTTAAAAGAGAAAATAAGTCTGGAGATTCAAATCTGGAGTCACTAGCAAATCAATATCTTCATAAAAAAATTAAAAGGCAAATGACAAATTGGGGAAAATATTTGCAATATATGTGACAGACGATGAGTTAATACCTTTTAATATATTTTTAAATAAGTACAAAAGATGGTTACTACAACAGAAAAATGGGCAAAGGACATGAAGAGGCAACTCACAAAATTATACATGGTCAATAAAATAAGGAAAGGTGTCAACATCATTAACAAGCAAAGTTATCTTCGTTAAAATCAAAAGAAATCATTTGTATCTAAAAATCAGCCAAAAGTGTTTGGTTTGTGTGGTGGTTTTTTGTGGTTTTTTTTTTCACTTAAAACATTTATTTATGTATTGAATGCCTTCTCTAAGCAAGGCACTCTGATTGACCCAGTGGTCCTTCACTCAGATGAATACCACTAATACCTTATGTTGTGAAAGATAAAACAAAACAGGCTAATAAAGTGCAAAATTGTATAAACTTTCTGGAATGCAGTTTGGCAGTATCCATTAAAGGTCTTAGAAAGGTTTATGTTCTTTTTTTCTATTTAATGCTTTTTTTCCAATTTACATTCAATATCATTTTGTATTAGTTTCAGGTGTACAGCTTAGTGGTTAGACAATCATATACAGTGGGGCCTTGACTTACGAGTTGAATTAGTTCTGAGACCGAGCTCGTTAAGAGCTCGTTAAGGAGCTCGTTAACTCAAATTATTCTATCAACTCAATGCAAAAAATCAGCTGAGACACATCTGGTATCTCAAAAAACTCGTTAGTCGGGGCACTCATAAGTCAAGGCCACACTGTACTTTATAAAGTATTCCCCCTGATATTTCCGGTACCCATCTGGCACCATACATAGTTATTACAATATTACTGACTATATTTCCTATGCTGTAGACATCCCCATGACTATTTTGTAACTACCAGTCTGTATTTCTCCATATCTTCACCATTTTTACTCAGTCCTCCAACCCCTCTCCCCTCTGGCAACCACCAGTCTGTTCTCTGTAACTATGAGTCTGTTGTTATTTTGTTTGTTCATTTATTTATATTGTTCTTTAGATTTCATATAAGTGAAGTCATATGGTATTTGCCTTTCTTTGACTGACTTATTTCACTTAGCACAATACCCTCTAGGTCCATCCATGCTGTCACAAATGGTAAAATTTCATTCTTTTTATATTCCCAAAGTGGAATCACTGGGTCATAAGGCAGTTCCATTTAAGATTTATGTTCTTTTGCATACTACTTCCTTGGGATAAATTACCAGATGTGCAGATAAACAGCTACAAACAAACAAAAAAGATTCATGAAAAAAATATTTGCTCTATAGTTTTATACTATTAAAAACATTTTTATGAAAATATAATTCACATACAATTTACTCATTTACAGTGCTCACTTCAGTGTTTTTTAGCATATTCATAGAGTTTTCCACCACCATCACAATCAAATTTACACCATTTCATCACCCCATAGTTTGTATAAATGGAATCATATAGTATGTGACTGGCTTCCTTCACTTAACATACTGTCTACAAGGTTCCTCATGTTGTAACATGCATCGGTACTTCATTCCTTTTTATTACTGAACTAGTGACCCATCGCACAAAATCGCGCGAGACCCGGCCCCCCCTCACCCCCCACCCCCGTGCCATGGGACCGCTCCGAGTCCCAGAGTCCTGCCCCGTGTGGCTGGCGCACCACAGGATGGTCCCCGGGTCCTGGAATGCCGCCCCAATGCCCCGCCTCCGGGCCACGCACAGTGGCTGCCAGGCCCTGCCCCCACAGCGTGCACACAGGGCCTCAGAAACCCTGGCAGAAGCTGCGTGGAGCAGCCACCGGCCCTGCCCCCGCTGTGCCCGCCACCATCTTGTGATGGTGTTACAGCATGAGGGTCAATTTGCATATTGCCTCTTTATTATATAGGATAATAGCAAATACATACAAAACATTCATTTCCAATACCAGATATTACTCTGTACAGTATATATACCACAATTTAGTTTTCCAATCTACATTGATGGGCATTTGGGTTATTTCAAATGTGAAGTTATTACAAACAGTAATCCTATCAACATTCTTATTCATATTTCTTAGAGCATAGATTTCTCTTGGATATAAACCTAGGAGTAGAATTGCTGACTTATGGAACAGGCACATCCAGCTTTAGTAGCTATAGTTCTCCAAAGTGATTATACCAATTTATATTCCTACCAGCAGTAGAAATTCCAGCTGATCTGTATCCTTGTCAACATTTAGTATTGCCTGTCTTTTTAGTTTTCGTCATTCTAGTGGGTATGCAGTAGTATCACATGGTGGCTTTAATTTGCATTTTCCTGATAACTAATGAAAAGGTGCTCAACTTCATTAGTCATCAGAGAAATACTGATTTTTGAACTATATAAATGTATTACCTGCTCAAGAAAATACATAAATATTTTTATTATTTTTAAAAAGAATGCATGGCCCTAACCAGTTTGGCTCAGTGGGTAGAGAGTCAGCATGCGGACTCAAGGGTCCCAGGTTCGAGTCTGGTCAAGGGCATGTACCTTGGTTGCGGGCACATCCCCAGTAGGGAGTGTGCAGGAGGCAGCTGATCGATGTTTCTCTCTCATCGATGTTTCTAACTCTCTATCCCTCTCCCTTCTTCTCTGTAAAAAAATCAATAAAATATATTTAAAAAAAAAAAAAAGAATGCATGATTGCCCAGCCGGCCTGGCTCAGTGGTTGAACATTGACCAGGAGGTCACGGTTCAATTCCTGGTCAAGACACATGTCCAGGTTGTGGGCTTGATCCCCAGTGTGGGGCATGCAGGAGACAGCCAATCAATTATTCTCTCTCATCATTGATATTTCTCTCTCTCCTCTCTCTCTCTCTCTCTCTCTCTCTCTCTCTCTCTCTCTCTCCCTCCCTCCCTCCCTCCCTCCCTCCCTCCCTCCCTTTCTCTTCCTCTCTAAAATCAATAAAAATTGTTTTGTAAAAAAAAAAAATTTTTTAATGCATGACTTCAGAGCCCTCACTGCAATGATTAAAGCCCATCAAAGGGGTGTGTGTGTGTGTGTGTGTGTGTGTGTTTGTATACATGTGCAAGTGCACTCATGTGGGTGTATTTAATGTGTGCATCCTTGTGTTTTACTAGTTAATGGTGACTTCTGGTTAACAAAAATTTGTCCCAATCAACCAGACAACCTTGAACAGGAAAAATGAGAGACTCAGAATCTCAGTGCAAGAATCGTGGTCCAGCTATTGAGTAGAGCATATCCAGTACTCTTCCTACCTCCTTCTTGTCCGAGGGGATGTTGTATTCGAGGTTGGGCTGGACCAGTTTGGGAATTAAGAACTGGAACTTGTTTGTTCCACTGAGTTGAGATGAGTGCCCATCAGTGACTGTGCAGTAATTATCGATGTCCCAGATCTAGGCACAAAATGTGAGTTAGTGGCCCAGCACAAACTCACTCTGGATCCCTCCCAGACCACTGCTCCTCACTTTAGCGGGGCAGTTCTTATTCACACCTCTCAGATAACCAGATGGTCAGGCCCAGAAGGGGCCCAAGTAATCTTCTAGGTCAGACCCCTTCCTAGCATGCAGAGAGGGTGAGACTGGCCCCAGGACAAGACACTCCTGCCTTGTGTCTCACCACAAAGCATGAAATCAGTTTCTGAAACAACAGACCACAGATAAGATGCATGGCTGGGGGGTGAGGGAGCTTCAGGGAGACAAGGATGGAGCACAGGATTCGCTGGGGAAGGCTTCGTGGAGGGGCCTTTTGAACCAAACCCTCAGTCCTTTCACTGGGCACACCAGAGCAGGAGAGGACTTGTAAGGCAACCCATCCTACTGCCCACTATTTCACAAATGAAAATATACCCGTAGGGATTAGGCTAAGGCCACCTGTGCAAAGAGGAGGCTAGAATTGGGCTGACACCAGCCTCTCAGTCTCCACGCCGCCTTCCTCACCTTGATGAACCCTTTACTATCCCCCGTGACAAGAATGCAGTCATTTTCGTCAGTGGCCATGGCACCCACGACCACGTCTCCAAGGCCTCCAGAGTCCACGCGGAACTTCCCCAGCAGGCCTCCGTACCCATAGATGGACCAGGCGTAGATGTAGCCGTCAATGCAGCTGCTCAGCAGGGCAGCCGTCTGTGGCAGGCGAGGCCTGCTTTGCAGGAAGATTATCTGTGCAAGAGAGGTGGGCCTGCTCAGCTGGTCGCTGCCACACGGTGCTGAGGGGCCCGCCTGGCAAGTCACCACACTGATCTGGTCCCCCAGTAAACTAGACGCCCAGTGAGAATGGTGATGGGTACCACACTTCCTACCTCACTGGTGACCAGGAACATTTTGCTGAACTATGAGCTCCTAGATGGCAAGGATGTGTGTCTGTTTTTGTTCATGACTTTATCCTCAGCAACTAAGATGATGCCTGGCACACGGTACATGATCAATGAATAGATGCTGAATTGTCCTAAGGCTCCAACAAGATTTTCTGAGACCTGTAGCTCAGCCCAAAGCTATTTGGAGGATGAGTTCATTCCCTTTCATATATCACTACAGTGAAACATTTCCATTTTCAGCCAATTGCCAAAAATTCTTCACCAAATTCTTCTTCAAGTCTTAGTTGGATCATGCCCTTTGCTAAATCCCCCTAGGGCTCACTTCTGCTTACATGGTCACTCCCATGGTTTACGTGGGGGCTACAGTGGGGAGTTACTCTGTATGAGGAGTGTGTGAAGAGAGCCGCTCGCCTGGGACCCACCTCGAATGGGGCAGAGAGAGCACAGTTAGGGATACAAAGTAAATCAGGCCACGCAGGGAAACTGGAGGCTTCCCAACTCATACTAAGTCAGAAATTACAGTGGTGGCTTGTGGGTTCCCACAACATGCCTTCAACAACAACAATAGAAATCTCATTAATTCTCGTCCTGGGGTCCAACACAAAATGCTCAACCTGCTTCCCATTGGCCCAGGTGCCAGGGTCATAGAACCAAGAGTCCCTAAACCAAAGGAAAAAGCAAGCATTTCCCCATTTTTGCAAGTGTACTTGTGCACTGTACAAAATGTGGACAGCACGGGTCGATGAAAAAAATTAAATCATCCACAGGATCCCAATAACCAGAAATAATCACATTACAATTTTAATGCATTTCCTTCAGCTTTTTTTCTAATTGCATCGTCTATAAAGACTTTTATCGTATCTCTTAAAAATGTAAAACATCCATGCAAGAATAGACAAATATACCAATGGAACCATAGAGAGGGTCCAGAAATAGATTATAGAAAATTATCTTATATAATAATGATAGAATTTCAAGACAGTAAAGAAAAGATAAACTATTCAATAAATGGTATTTGAGTAACTGGCTACCAATTTTGGAAAAAAAGAACAACTAGATTCATACATCACACCATACACAAAGTTACTTAGATGAAAAAAAAGCTGACTAAAAATATATAAAATCATAAATGTCTAGAAGAAAATATAACAAGCCCAGCTAGCATGCCTCAGTGGTTAAGCATCAACCTATGAACCAGGAGGTCCCGGTTCAATTCCCAGTCAGGGCACATGCCGGGGTTTTGGGCTTGATTCCCAGTGGGGGGGGGGGGGGGTGCAGGAAGCAGCTGATCAATGATTCTCTCTCATCAATGATGTTTCTCTCTCTCCTCCCTTCCTCTCTGAAATAAAAATATTTTTTAAAAGAAAATATAACAAATTTTTCTGTGACCCTAAGCCTTAGTGTGATACCACAAAGGCAGATGAGGGGAAAATATTTTTAATACACAAACAGGCAAAGGATTAATTTCTAGAGCATATAAAGAGACCGAAAACTTAAAGTATATGAATAGATATTTATTTCATTAAAGAAATACAAATACATGACAAATATACAAAAAGGCTCAATATCACAAATAATCAAATAAATAACCCCCCAAAATGCTGTTTTCCACTCATCAGACTAGCAGAAATGAAAGGCTAATGTCCACCTCCTCTGTGAAGCCATCCCTGACCACCCTATTCAAACAATAGTGTCCTCTTCACCTCCTCTGCCATTCTCCCTGCCTTCTTCCCAGTTTTCTTGTTCTCTGCTGTGCTGGCTCAGCCTGTGGCCTATCATTTATTTTACTCACTTAACTAGAATGTCAGCTCCATTAGGACAGGGGTTCTTGTCCCTCACTGCTGCCCCCACCCCCAGTGCCTGGCATGTGGTAAGTGCTCAATGAATAACTGTCAGTGCCCGGACAGAACGAAGTCACTGACCTGAAAGGAGGGGCTTTGAGTCATCTCCCTCAGTCAGAGTCACGGATTGAAAGGACTGGGGTCTCTTGGCAATTCTGCTCCCAGGAATCCATGCTTTCAATATATTCCCATCAGTGCAGAGAAATGCATATACAAGGATGCCCAGTGCAGTGCTGCATGTAAAAGTTCAATGCAGGCACTAACCTGCCAGTCTATCAATGGAAGGCTGGCTTCATAGTTTATGATACATTCAAACTATGGGGCACTATGCAGTGATTAAAAAGAATAAGTAAACGTCAAAAGAATAAGCTGAATCTAAATTACTGATATAAAAACATATCCATGGTATATAGTTAAATTTTTTAAAAACAGCAAATGGCCCAGCCGGTGTGGCTCAGTGGTTGAGTGTCAACCTATGTACCAGAAGATCACGGTTTGATTCCTGGATTCCCCATCAGGGCAGATGCCTGGGTTGTGGGTTCAATCCCCAGTGGTGGGGGACAGAGGGGGCTCAAGAGGCAGCCAATCAATGATTCTCTCTCATCATTGATGTTTCTATCTCTCTCCCTCTCCTTCCTTTCTGAAATCAATAAAAATATCTTCAAAAAGAAAACAACAGAAAATGGAATGGCAGGGCTATAATTTAGCTATAAGCTAGCTATAATTTTACATCACTGGTCTGAAAATAAAAGGCTAAGGCTAAACCAATCCATCACCAGTGACGGTGACCATTACTTTGGGATGGAGTGGGGGGTTGGGGGAGGCAGAAAGGATACATGGGGGACCTTTACTCTTTGCTTTATGCACACTTCTTTTTTGTTTTTTACCAAAACAAAACTTTTAAAAGAGAGGAAAGCACATTCAGAACCTGGAGGAGAGAGTGTTCAGAGGCTTGCCAGTCTCCGCTCCAGCGCACAGGACCCAGCTCTGCAGGGCACTGCTCCCCTGCTCGAGGCCCTGGTCCCCTAGGTAAGGGGGCAGCCCTGCCATACCCAACACAGCTATGATTCTGACTTTCACTGGCTCAGTAGATACAACACCCTGTGAAAGGCACAGCTGGGGTCTAACAGGCCCTGGGCTTAAGAGACTCGAGTTTGCTTTGGGGGAAACCCATACAGTCTCTTAATGACCCTGTCTTTGCAGATGAAAGCTGGAAGGGGCCTTAGGTGACAGCACAGTGAGGGGTGATCAGAGCCTGAAAGGGGAAAGGTACAGGAGGAAATGAGAACAGATAGGACCCAATCCCCTCACATGTCATACAAAACACCTCACCAGAGCACAGGAGGGCATTTAACAGTGGATTCTGGAAATGCTACTTTTCCTCCCTCCCAGTCCAGCACCCCCAACCAGGAGGGGACACTGTTCACCTCCCTAGACAACCCCCATACCCGTGGAGCTTCCCCCAGACACAGCAGTCCTGGACCCAAATCCTGAGCAGTACCATCATCTCCATCACTTCTCTCCAGACCCTGAGGAGAACCAGGCTGGGCCCCAGGCCCCCACAGGCACCGCATTTCCCAACCCCACCCCACTCTCCACCCCTCCTCACACCCCAGACCCTGCCTGAGCATGGCCCACCTTCTCCACCGATGCATTGGACTGCTGGAACTCCCTCTTCTGCAATTCCCCTTTTGTCCTTTCAGTCTCTTGGAGGAGGGACTGCCTCTCATAGTACATTTTTAAGAGCTTGATGCTGCCAACACTGTAGTGTTTCTGGAAAACAAAATGGGCCTCCCAGGTCATCATAAGGGGGTCTCCCTGGCTAATGGGGAACAGAGACTAGAGGCAGATGCTGAAGGAGCATCCCCCAGCCCCACTCAGTAGATACAACACCCTGTGAAAGGCACAGCTGGGGTCTAACAGGTCCTGGGCTTAAGAGACTCGAGTTTGCTTTGGGGGAAGACCCTCCCTTTGCCCTGGAAGAGATACCCTGGCTAAAGGTAAGAATAAAGGGGTGTGGATAGGCCATTGTTCTAGGACAGGGGTGGGCAACCTTTTTGTGAGTGCGTGCCAAAACCAGCAAAATCTCTGACTCAAAATTCTTCTGCATGCCAACCCTAATTTTTTGAGAACATGTTACGCCTACTTGATATCTCTTAAGGTGCATGTATGTGAAGAACCTTGAAGAAATAATAAAATTCATTCGAGCGACAAAAACACAGTATATGATGATGAAAAACACATTTATTTTTTAATGTATACATGTACACTGATAATCCAACAGAAAACTTTATGACTCCGTTTGATATTATCAGTGGGACTTTTGCTGCTGCATCACTGATGACAGAGATTTTACATCAGGTTTATATTTCGTGACCTTCAGAGATATGCATGAGCTACTACTTTCATCCGTCAGGCTACTCCTATTACGAGACTTAACAAAATTCATCACTGAGAACAAAGATTCACAAGCGTATGTGGATGAAACCAAAACACTGGTCGGATCTAGGAAGGCAGGGAGAGTTAAGGCAGAGGCATAGAAATTGCTCTTCCCCTCTCTCGTCAATCCATGTCTATGGTCTTTAAGATAACTTGTTATGTAAAATTATTTATTTATCTAAGATGCACCTACACTGAATTTATCTGAAAAATAAAAAAGTCGATATTAAGAAAAAAATTGTAAATGGAAGATTATAAGAGAGGGTTTCGCGTGCCAGCAAAAGTTACTGGCGTGCCATGTTTGGTACACATGCCAGGGGTTGCCCACCCCTGTTCTAGGAGATTTGAAGGTAGTGGTACCACCCCAATACTCAGTGATGGTATTAGTGCCTTGTAGTGTTATCCAGTGGCTGCCCCTTACAGCAGAACAGAGTCCCAGCAGGTCATATGGGATCCGGGTCTAGACTACCTGGTGCCTGACAGGTCTTGTGTGTTTGGAGAAGGTGGGATTCTCATTCCTGGAAGCCTCAGTTCCCAGGAGTCAGACTTCAATGGCTAAGATGACCTGACTGGCTTCCAAGCCCCATTCAAGAGATTACTGTCTCCACTGTAGGGTCTGAGGCCAAACCACACCCAGTGAGTAGGGAGAGAGCAGCCCCCTGGCTCTTTCTCCCTACTCCACCCACCCCAAATAAGACCACCAGTCAAGCCTGGAAGGGTTGATCCTGGGGCAGACACCAGGGCTCAGAGGAGGAGGGAAGTGGTTTGCACCTAGGAGTCTGGTCTCCAGGGAGCTAAGGCTTGTTGGGGAGGCAGGGGAGCCGTTATGGCTCATCTCTGCTGGGGCAACAGGAGCTGGAAGACAGAGAAAGCAGCCCAGGATTTAACCTCGTTATAGGTTCTCTGGTTGTCTTGCCTCCAGGTCCTGCCCTTGAGCTTGCAGACATCAGGTCTGGTATTAGCTGCTCTCTGAGAAGGGACCATGGGCAGGTGCGAGGCAGCAGATTGGGTTAGATTCCATGGGCCTAATCAGGGAGGTGCCTGCCCAGCCCACCATACTCAGGAAAAGTGTGTTAACGGACCTAAAGGCATTCTGGGTAAAGTGCCTTCTAATAAGGAATCACTCACACACACGAGGCAAACTGAGGTGTCTAGAGCAGCGGTCGCCAACCGGTGGTCCGTGGACCACTGGTGGCCTGTGAGGTCCAAAAGGTTGGCGACAGCTGGTCTAGAGAGTAAGGGTGGATGCCTGGGTCAGCTCTTGCTCCCACCTTCAGGATCTCAGGCTCCTCTGACTCCTTGGTGCTGGGGTGTCTCATCACAGGGGGGGCTGACACCAGGCTCTGCCTCAGTTTGGTGTTGGACCCAGGCTTGGTGCTGTGGTCCAGAGGATACACGGAGGATCTGCGTGCCCACTTCTTTGGCTCCACACAGGGATTGCTGGTCCTTTGGCCCTCGATTAAGCTCTCGCGGTCTCTTTGCACCTGTGCCAGAGAGAGAGCAGCCCCTGGGGCTCGGCAATGTCCCAGAGGGAAATGCAGGGTCTCCCAGCCTCACACCAACAGCACAGGCTCTCCAGGTACCCAGAGCGTGCTTCCCTTAGAGGCATCAACCCAGAACCTAGGACCCTGTCCCGGGGCCGACCGCTAATGCCCTGAGTACCCATAGGCAGGAGACTGCTCCTATGAGGAACTCAGTCTTCCCATCTCTAAAAGGGACAGTGGTTTCCAAATATTTTTTTAGGATGTTTTTAATCTTAAGGGAAGCTCCGAAGTATAAAATAGATAAAAAGCTGGGCTGCTCTGGGAGAAGCCTCTGCAATAGCTTCCAAGCATCTTTCCCCAACATGTTCCAAAAACTACTGCATGAGGTGACCCCAGAGGCCCTTCCAGCTTTGATGTGCAAAGATGTGGCAATTCAGAGACTGTGTGAGTTTCCTAAGTCCTTGCCATGAGCTCAGTGAGCCTGGAATGGTCATATGTGCTAGTGACGAGTAAGATGTGAGCCATCTTTCAGGACGGAGTAGTCTATGGAGGGAACACAACTAGCACTCCCAGGCTCTGGAGTCAAACTGCCTGGGTTTGACCTATCATTTCTTGGCTGTGTGACCTTGGGCAAGATGCATAACCTCTCTGTGCCTTAGTTTCCTCATTTGTTGAATGAGGATAATCATAGAAATCTCCTCCAGAACAAGTCACCACCATCCTCTCTACTTCCCAGGATGCTCCCTACACCCTCCTTCCCCAGGTCCAATGTGATTCTGGCCCACAGCTAAGAGAAAGATGAGAGAACAGCATGTTCCTGTTGACCATACCCTCTTAGGCAGCAAGGGTGAGGGGCTCTGAGAGGCGTTGAATTTGAGGATGGGCTTGAGCATATTGACGTTCCAGAAGAGGATGTCCCCGTTGTAGGAGGAGGTCCCGAGGAACTGGTTCTGGTACTTGGACACACTCAGGATGTCCTCGGTGTGGAAGGTCTGCCAGTGGTTGCACAAGAGCACCGACTTGGTCTTGTGGAACCTGCACACACGGCCAGAGGCAGGAGGGCTGAGAGCTCAGCCTTAATGCTCCATTGCAGGAACACGGACTCAGAGGAGGGCACATGGGGGGCTGGAATAGGGCTGATGTTCTGCCCTGCTGACCTCATTTACTAAGGCCCTGAAGCCCTGTCCTAGGGCTTCATGTAAACTAATCTTACAGATGTTCACCTCTCAGGCACCTGAGTAAGGATTCAGGTTTAGAGAAGAGGAAACCGCTGCCCTAAAAAGGCCCTCTGAGGAGGAAGGGGTCTTGCACATATGCTAGCATTTCTTCCCTCTGCCTGGAATGTTCCTCCTATCCCAAGCTCTTAGCTGCTTCGGTAAGACCCCTCTGCTCACTCTTCAGATCCCCCTCCACCCATAAAATCCTCAGGGGAGCTTTTTCTGACCACCCCTCAGACTAAATCATATTTCTGTCTCCTTTCCATAGAAACCTCTATTCAATAGAATGTAGCATTCCAAATGAAGCTATTTGATCAGCTCAACCCCACAGAGGCTCCAGGAGGATGAAGAATCCATCGTTCTTGTTTATACCCATCCCCAGCACCTACCGCAAAGCCTAGAGCCTATCATCTAAGGGAGTGGTGAATAAATGGGTGGATGAGCAGATGAAGCCTTGGGCATTAGCCACCACTAATGTCCTGCTGGTGTTCTAACCACCCGCAAAGCCAGGAATGGAGGAGCCCACCTACCCGCACACACCCTTGCTACTCACTTGTAACAGGTGATTCTCTTATTCCACCCGGTCACGTAGAACACGTTATTCATATGGATAATCCCACTAATCTGTGGAAGATGAAAGAAAACAGAACTCTAAGGTAACTCAGTGAAAATAGCTCTGGGCGTGGAACGTCTTCCTAATCATCCCAAGCAAGAAGCTAACACTCTCCATGTGAGGAGAATTCCCTAGAGGTGATGCCACCACATTTTTCTCAAGGTTTCCTCACATCTCATCAGTTGATGGACTTAGAGAAAGCAAATCAGGTAGGTATCCATGTCCACTCTCTAGGGGATGACTGAAAACAGACAAGTGACTTGGCTAAGGTCAAATGACTGAGTGACAAGACCGGGACTAGTACTCAAACCCCTGGCTTCTTGACCATGTGATCCTTCGGGGTTGGTTAAAGGACTGTGCCACAGGCATCAGAAATGGCCTCAAATCCCAAAGTGGGACTGCTGGCTCGGCACGGTGCCACACCCACAGACTGTCTCAAATAGAGTCAAGCATGGGTGGCTCTGAATCACCTGCCGCCACTGCTAGGATCCCAAGCTCTCATAAGTGGGGTAAGAAATGCTAACAAGCCCTGACCGGTTTGGCTCAGTGGATAGAGCGTCGGCCTGCGGACTCAAGGGTCCCAGGTTCGATTCCGGTCAAGGGTATGTACCTTGGTTGCGGGCACATCCCCAGTGGGGATTGTGCAGGAGGCAGCTGATCGATGTTTCTCTCTCATCGATGTTTCTGACTCTCTATCCCTCTCCCTTCCTCTCTGTAAAAAATCAATAAAAAATATATTTAAAAAAAAAGAAATGCTAACAAACTAAAAGCAAGCGAAGCTAACGTTTGTAGAACGCTTATTAAGGACAGGTGCTATTGCCTATCTTCACCTTCCGCATGAGGACACGGAGGCTCCGGGAGCCGTGAAGCCGCACAGTCCACGTGGACAGCCCTTCAGGGAGGCAGATGAACTAGTGGGCCCAGAGTCACAGGAGTTGTGCTTAGTGTCTCAAGAGGCCCTCTGAGCCCACCCGATGGACCAGACTGACCTCCAGCTGGTCGGGGTTGGGGAAGGTGAGCAGGGACTCCCCCGTGCTGTAGTTCCACATCTTTACGGTGCCGTCACGTGAACCCGTGAGCAGGCACCGCTCGGGCTCATCCAGGGACATGGCAGTCAGCTCCATTTGCTGGTCACGACTCACAGAGAACTCCATCATCCTCTTGCCTGTGACGATCTCCCACACACTCACCACGCCGGTCACACAGCCACTCACCACCTGCGGGCGAGGACACAGTCTGGGGCTCCCACAGAGGCGTGTGGCCTCTACCTGTCACGGCTAGGCCTGGCCCAGCCCCCCTCCATGCACTGGGAAGACAGGCATTCACGGACCCCGGCTGCCAGATCACCCCCTCTTGAAAACAAGCCTTCTTCAGGGCAGTGCAACCTGGCACAGCTTTCAGAAGGAGCCAGTTTGGTGAAGTTCCCTTTAACTCAGAAATGGCGTTTATCAGAATCTATCCAGAGAAAATAATCTCTAATTCAGAAAAAAAACACCTTTTATTGAAGCATCATTAATGATGGGGGTGGCATAGGAAATAGAGAAACTGGCCCCTAAGAAGGGAAGTGCAGAGAGTAGAAGATGGTCACTCCACTCGGTGCAACCTTTTGCTGCCATGACAAGCATTTCAATGCAACAGCAGCAGTGAGCCTATTTGAGACCAGCCCTCCTGCTAAGAACGTCTAGAAAAGCTGGGGTTGGGGTTATAACTGTTTGAAAGCATTGAGGAGCCCAAAGTATGCAGGATGGTGGTGCTAGGAGCCAAGATGAGAGGGAAGTGCTGAGAGACGAGCTCTGGCTTCATGCGGACAAGGCCACCTCTGTAGCAGATACAGCCTTCCCTGCCCAGAACCCAGGCCAGAAAAGGGGTCCACGTAGAAATTGGCAGAAGGCCTGGGGCCCTTTGTGTCCCTACACCTCAGAAACCATGTGCCCAGTTGCCCCGACCAGCCCAGAGGTCTCTACTCCGGACCAGGGTGCTGCCCGCGGCCTGGGCCTCCCTCCCTTCCCTTAGTGGACAAAGTTGAACTGGGGCTTCCCTAGAAAACGATGCCCAGGAACCCTGCAGAGCAGCCCACCCCTACTGCCCCATCTCACACTCACGTAAGAAGGCTGCCTGTCAGAACGGACCTGGGGCAGCAGCCAGGAGTCCACGGGCTCAGGAGTTGGCCAAGCCGCTGGCCAAGCGGTGGGGCTCCAGTCTCATCGTGGGCCAGCCCCTCTGCAGGGCTGTTTCTCATCCAAACCCCGCTGCCCCCACCACCATGACAGCTATGGGAGTCCGCACCACCCTGCCACCTGCCCTGATGACCCCTTGGATCTGGACACACAGGAGGTCTGGGACCTGCCCCACGCCACCCAGCTCTCCTGCCAGTCCCAGAGGCCAGCTGGCCCACTCACCTGCTTAAAAACCTTGCTGTAGAGGACAGCACACAGGGGCGCGCTGTAAGTCGTGGTCCTCTCCCCGGTTTTCCCAGGCCCCTCGGTCTCCATGGACCCTTTTTAGGAACCCAATCTGGAAATGAGGAGAGGAAAAAGATAGCTGGGGCAGTCCAAAAGGGCCTCTGCCCCTCCATTGACTGGCCCCAGGGAAAAACTCCAAGTAAAACTGAGACATTCAAGGCATCCTGACTACACACAGGCCTGAGCCTAGCAAGGCTCCTCTGATCCCTACTCCATGTCACCCCTCTCTGAGATCGGGGCTCCCAAATCCTAGTGCTCCTAGGACCCTAAAATCCAAGGTCCCTCTTATAACTCCTGAGAAGCATACAGCCTCAATCCAGTGTCCTCTCTTCCAGGCTATCCCTACCCCAGGCTAGGCTAAGGGTCTTTTTCCTGTGCTCCATGAAGCTCTTAGCATACATGTCCATCATAATACATTGCATTTTCTACATTTTCTTCTACCCCATAGGTTCCTCAAGGGATCGGACAGTGTCTAATTAATATATTCTCTGCTTCTAAAAAAGAACAGGGGGTTGATAATGTTTGATGACATAAAATGACCTTCAAAGGTCTATTTAATTCAACAAATGCTGGCAGCCAGTCTGGTACTCAGCAGAGATGAAGGAACTCACAACCTCCCATCTCAAGAAACCTACCATGTGGGGGAGAGCCAGCCAAGGACACAAGAACAATATACGTGTCCCCTGCCAGGGTGGCCTGGCCAACAGAGGGTACAAGGCCTCAGTGGAAGTACCCCTAACTCTTAGCCACAAATGACACCCTTGTCTCCCTTCCCATCTTGGCTGCTGGTTGTCCTTGCAGCTCCCTAAACCCCCATCTTGTCACAGGCCCCACCGCCACCCTTCATAGCCCCCTGTGCTTCTCCCAGTCTGTGCTGTCCTCCAGGGTCAGGGTCAAGACAGAGTGCACATGGGCCCCAGGGAAGGTGAGCTCACAGATGGTCTCAATGAGGTCTCTCCAGGTTCTCTCCCTTAGAAGAGCTGCTCAGGTGTGGTCCTGCCTTCCTGGAGTTCACAGTTTGTCAAGAAACTCCCACAAGAGTTTCAGGACAGAGCTGTAAGGGCTGTGATCACGGGGAGGCACCGGTCCAAGGGAGCTTGGAGGGGGAGCCCCTAACTCAGCCTGGGAGCAGGGGGTGGGGGAGGGGGTGCTTCCAGGTTGTATTGGTCAGGAAAGAACAGACGGAGCAGCAACACAGAGGCTGACAGCTGGGGGCCTAGAAACAGCTTCTAGGAAATCCCAAGAGATGGAAACTCATGGGCGAGGCCACAGAGTCTAGCAGCTTCATCCTCACATCATCATGAAGAGCAGTCTGGGGAGGGACAGTCTGTGACCATCCCTTGGTTGTCCTGTGGGACTGCAGACCCGGCCACAGTGACCACCCTCTATGTGCAGCCACGATGCCGCCTCCCCCCTGCACGGCACTCACTGAATAGGTGCTGCAGATGAGGGTGTTGTCATTCTCCCGGAGGTAGATGCTGGTGATGGGACAGTTTCCCAGGGCAAAAAGCCTCCCACATAAGGACTGGAGGCATACATATTCCTGCAGGTCCCACACGCGGATATTCTAGGAGGTAGGAAACAGGTAGAGAGGCTGAGAGCGGGATGCAGCTGGCAACGGAGGCCTTGGGATGTGAGCAGGTCAGGGGCCCACGATGCAAGCACTTCCAATGCACACCCACTGCGCTTAGTGTCTGCCCCGGATCCTGACCCTACGACAGAGATGTTGTTCCTAGGCTCTATGAAAAAACTGTGGCCCGGCTCTCTCCCCGTCCCAGCCTTCACTCAGGACCTCTACCCTGTTTGAGTGGATGACATTCAGTGGTGGAGGACCATGCCAGGCAGCACAGTGCCCTTGCAGACCTCATGGCTGCCCCTCCAGCCTCCTCAAACACAACCAGGTAGAAGGCAGAGTGGCTACCAACATTGTTGCCCAAAAGGCCCACCTGTCCCCAGAGGATCCCCCTCGAGTTTAACCCAGGTTGAGAAAGTGTCCCTAGAGAGGCCCCTGGAGAGCTGGGGGTGCAAGTTTGGGTTGGGGGGAGGGTGGAAGCAGGGAAAGACTCACATGTATTGTACACCTACTATGTGCCAGACATGACATTAATCTTTTACCCCCCATTTTCCTCTAAGCCACTGACAACCATTCCATGGAAGGGGCATATATACTCCTGCAGGTCCCACGCTCAGATATATAAAAGGGAAGGGTGTGGCCCAGGACCACAGCCAGCTCCAGTGGACTGCTTGGAGCTGGGCTCAGGCTCCGCATGGCGACTCCCCCCGGGCCATCTCCCTCTAGGCCTTAGGCCAGGCGTGAGACCACAGGCAGGGAGGTCACACCATTCCCCTGGGCCTCAGGCTCCTGCCAAGTGCTAGCCTCCCGGCTGCCCAAGCTAGATCACTGTTCCCAGGAAAGTGTCTCTGGTTGGGGGCGGAGGGCCATGCTCCGCAAGGGCAGCACCTTGTCCTTGGAGATGCTGATGAGGATGTTGTTGTTCTTGGTGTTCACCAGGACGTGCGTCACCGAGGTCTGATGCCCCTTCAACAGCCACACAGGCTTTTTCGAGTAGTGAGGGCTCCACAGGTGGATATGGGGGTTATAGCCACCAGTCACTGGGGTGAAAAAAATGAGCATCAGCCACTGGGGGCTTATGCTGGGACCTTTTCCTGGGGCCAGGTATCAATTCCAGCCAGGCTTGGCAGATGGGCAGGCATTGCTACCAATCAACCCTCTGCTCCCCACCCATGCTAAGCACAGCCTGTGCCACCACACTACCCCAAGTACCCATGAGTGGGAGCCAGAGTGGCAGGAGAGGAGGCCAGGCAGAGGCAGAAGGCTGCAAGGCCTCCTCCTTGGCTCTGATGGTCCCCATGCCTCCAGCAGCCCTCACCCCAGTTCTGCCAGGCCAACAGATTCTGCATGGCATGAAGATGACTTACCCAGGAAGTTCTTCTCTGCGCAGTAATCAAAGCAAAGAATTCCTTTTCTTACATTCAGCACCGAAGACCTACAACAGCAAAGAACAAAGGCTGTGGGGCTAGGAGAGGCCTCAGGGGAGCCTCTGAGTGTGGGGTGTGGAAGAACTGGAGAGAGGGCTGGGGGGAGGCCAGGAGAAGTCACTACCTCTCCACCCAAGGAGAGCAGCAGCCCCAGAAGCCCTGCCCAGAGCACACCCTGCAGCTGAGTCTCAGCCTTGGGTCTCAGCCCCAAACCAGCAGCTCATGGAAGAGGCACCCACCTCTCACTTATAGATGAAAGCAGCCCGCAGGAGGAACTACTTACAGTTATAACACATTTGCCTCACTCCACAGGCAAACGTCACTTCATCTTCACCTCAACCACAGTGGAACAGGTGTCTCCCCAACCACAACACAAATCCAAAGGGAAGGGTTTCAGGGCCAGGGAAAAGGGAAGACAGCTCTTGGGGTCATGGCCTTGCTCCATGCGGCTCTCAGTGCTGAGTGCTGTCTCGTGTGCCACCTGGACCCCTCACATCACCCTGAAGAGTGTCATCAGCTCTGTGCCACGATGAAGACGTGGAAAGGAGAAGTCAGGGAGCTTGCCCAAGGTCACGTGGCTGGTAAGGCAGGAGGTCAGGGGTCAGAGCCAGGATGGGCATGGCAGGAAAAGACAGGAGGCTCAGCTCCAGGAAAGGAAGGGGTGTGGCAGGATGGCTGGAGCTTGGAAGGGCCAGGGTGACCCAGGCAGGATTTGTGGGAAGGTCAGGCCCAGAAGCCCTGAAAACTCAGTGCCTTTGCACATGCTGTTCCCTCTTATCCACACATCCTGCCCTGCCAGCTTCTTCTTGAACTCTCCCTTCAAAACTCAACTCAAAGGCCTCCAACCCTCTAATGCAGCATGCCCCACTGAACTTGCCTTTGAACTGGCTCCTCCACCACTCCCTGGGGGCCCAAGCCTGTTACCTGAATGTCACTCAGGAGGTTCCCTCTCCTATACGCCCCCACATCCCACCACAGCCCTGGCCTCTGCTTAGTTCAGACCCCCCTTCATTTCTGTCAGCCTCCCAGGGGGTCTCTAAACCTCCAGTCTTACTTCCCTCCAACCTGCTCTCCCCTCCACAGCAGAAGGATGCCTCAAACAATCAAAATGTCAGGAAAAGCAACTGAATGCATGTATGACATTTACTGTCAAACCAGATATATCTTCTCCACACATATATGCAAATCTTCTGGAAGAATGGTCCCAAAACGTCACTATAAATTATTTCAGGCTGATTCACCCATTCATTCACCAAAGAGGTACTGGCTCCTGCTCCCTTCCAGGATTACAGAGATGTGGATATGATGCCCTGGCCTTCCTGGAACTTCCTCTAGAAGGCAGCAGCATGAGCAAGTACATGAACAGAGGTGGGAGACGGACATTTATAGGTCGTGGCAAGTCCTGCAGAGAGACACACAGTGGCTTTGACAGGATAGCAGGAGGAGACCAGGTCTGCAGATGGCTGCTGCGGTGCAGAGAAGGGCCTGGAAGGTCAGGGGGCATGCAGGGAACAAGGCCACTGCGAAAAGTTTAGGTGGCAGATAACAGTGGCTTCAATGAGATGGTGGGGGCAGAAGTGAGAGAAAAGGTGGGAAGCCAGGGAGATGCTGTGTGTTAGTCCACATGTCCCTTCTACCCCGGCCATAGCTCCTCCATCAGATTCACTGCTGGGTCCAACCACCTGGAAACTCAGCGCAGGCCAGCTGCTGGGAAGTCAGACCCTTGGACACACGCTGCCTGGGAGGCTGAGGCCCACTCCAGAGTTGGGTTGGCAGTGCCAGGCCCCACCTGCAGAGGCCACCCCCTATGAGGCCATCCCCAGCAACAGAAAACCAGCAAGCAGTCAATGGCGCCACCTACCAGAAAATATGTGTACTGCATTCAGGCAGGAAGGAAGGGTGTGTGTGGGTACCACTGTATAAATATATTCTCCAACCAACCTCTAAAATATATCTCAAATCCCTCCATCTCCACCCAACTGGTCGACTGCAGGCTGCTACCATATGTACCCTGAATTACTGCAATGGCATCCTCATGGGGTCCCCATCTCAACTCCTGCCCAATGCACTCTACTTGCAACAGAACAACAGAAGGATGCTCCTACACGTCAGACCACACCATTGCTCTGCTCAAAACCATTCTAGAACCCTGTTTATATCTGATTCCAAATAATTGTAAAAAGACATTTTTGAGACACTTGGGGAGAGATTAACTTAGACTAGGTACTAATGATATTAAAGTATTATACTATTATCTCTACTTTTGTATGTGTTTGAAATTTTTCATAATAAAAAATGTTTAAAAAACAAAAATTATTTTTAAAAAAGAGCACATCACTAGAGAGGAGCGATGCAAAGGCCCTGGGGCAGGAGCACGCCTGAACCACAGGGGGCCAGTGTGGCTGGAGTGGAAAGGTGGAAGAGGTGTGCTCAGGAAGGCAGCAGGGCCTGACCAGAGAAGGCCTCGGGGCCACAGTGAGGTGATCCTCCTGATAGCCTCCTGCTGTTGAGACCCAATAAAACAAGAAGCTGAAGCTGATGAAACACATATCACAGACATGAGATAATACTACCACCAAAGCAGAGAGATGACACTCAGCCAACCAGCTCCAAGCAAAATCCCACCCCACAGCCCCACTAAAAGCACTGAAGCCAAGACTGAAACGCCCCCACCGCAACAGATATTCTCCGAGGCCCCCTCCCCTAACCGCAGTTAGTTCCAGGACTTGGGTGGGAATGTGCACAGAATACTCTGGTTAACAAGACAGTGGACTTACAATGAGGCCTGGGATGCAACCCCAGCTCAAAGGTCTGCTCCAAGCCAGTCACCGCCCCTGCCTTCCCTAAGCCTCAAGTTTCCAGTGTAAAACGAGGAGCTGGACCTAAATTAGCGCTACCATCCCAGGACTGGATTCCCTCTGGAAAACAACCAGGATAAGAAGGAACAGACAGAAACTGGGCCAAAATGGCCCTCATTCTCCACACTGTACCTGACCCAGCTGCACCCCAGCACAAGCCTCAAAGCTCCTGCTGTTCCCCCAAGACAAGGGAGCTACAGCTCATTATTCAGCCCGTTCAGGAGCAAAATGACACAGACCAAAGGCTCCAGATGTAAAAAGGTAGGACAATGAGAAAACTGAAGAGGCAGGGAAACCCAGCTAAAGGGATCCTCAGGAGGAAGTACCTACTGCAAAGTGCCAAGTGCTAGGTGAACACTAAAATCATAGAATTGGGACTTGCGATAATGGAGTGAGTCAATGGGGTTAGGTAAAGGGAGGAGGGCTGCAGGATTCCAGTTTCATTTATAATGTTTTAACTTTTTTCCAGGACAATGTATATGCATATACAAAAAAAAAACAAACAAACAAAAAAACACAACAACTCAGACTCCAGAGCCCATGCTGCAACAGCCCGCTGTTGGCCCATCGGACAGGTAGTGCTGCCTTGGACCCGGTGTGGTTCGTAGACAATGAGCTGCCACAAGCAATGCCACTGACTCAGAGGTGGGGCCACCCTCAGTAGGGATGGCCCCTTTTGAATGAAGTGAAGCCAGACCCCTACCCACCTCCCTTCAGCCCCACCACCTTAGCCTAGAGCAGCGGTTCTCAACCTGTGGATCGTGACCCCTTTGGCAGTCGAACGACCCTTTCACAGGGGTCGCCTAAGACCATCCTGCCTATCAGATATTTACATTACGATTCATCACAGTAGCAACATTACAGTTATGAAGTAGCAACGAAAATAATTTTATGGTTGGATCACAACATGAGGAACTGTATGTAAAGGGCCAGAAGGTTGAGAACCACTGGCCTAGAGAAAGGTGCTTCTTACCTGGTGGTCTCGGAGGCTTTGGATGGCAATACTGTCAGCACCAAAGAGGACTTACTGATGGCTGAACAGGAGGCCACCAGGTTCATCTCGGGGATGAACCTGACCTGCTGACACCAGTTGCGATGGAGAGCCTGGGAAGAGAGCGGCAGTGGTGGAGACCCACCTGAGGACGGCCTTTCAGCACCGCCTCTGGGACGTGGCAGGTGTTGGAGACTGGAGGGACCCGGGGATCGCTGAGTCCAGTGGCTTCTAATGATCACAGCTCTGACCAAGTGATATGGCCCCAGCCCTAGCCCAGACCCCATGACCAGGAGGGTGTGGCCATTGCTTGTCAGTGAAAAGGCTGCTGTCATGTGAACTCTTGCTTATCAGGCAAGTCAGGCCAATACTAAGATTGTCGCCCCCTCCCAGACAGGAGAAAGGATGGATTTGTGTCTGTGAGTTCTGTTATCTGCAGGAGCCCCGGCACCAATGAACCTTTGCTTCCTGGCCCCTCCGCTGCCCTCCATCTTTGTCAGGACATGGCGTGGGATAGTGAGAATGTTATCTGGTGCACTTGGGCAACAAAGCCCAAGACCCACAGATCAAGGGGGTGTTCTGGCTGCACAGGCTCTAAATACTCCAGTTCCAGCCCTGTGGTCTGACCCAGCGCTTGGCCTCCCCATCCAGCCATCTTCCTTCCCACGGGGACAGGAATGGAGGAAGTGGGTTGGAGGGGTCGTCAGGCCCTGACTAGGTTTTGCAGGCCTATCTCACTGAGTATCACAGTGGGGCACCAAATCCAAGGCACTAAATGGAACCTGGGTCATTTAGCAACTTGGAGGAAAACCAAGCCCAAGATGAGAATCCCACAGGAGATGCAGGAAAGGAGGACTAGCCCGGGACTCTTTCTGAGGGGCTCCTGGGCCTGCTCCAAAAGAAGCACGGAGGAGCCTGCACCACCCAACGCAGACTTTCCTGAGTGTTGGAGTTATTCACTCATTTGTTTAACACATGTACTAGGAGCCCACAGCCCCAGGCACTGGAGACAGAACAGAGAAGAGAACCAGCTAAGTGCCTGCCCTCCAGGAGCTGCACTCTCATGGGGGAGGCAGGACAATACCAGGTAAGAGATGGCAGCTGTGATGCTGTGATTTATAATGAGAAATATATATTTTGGTCTTTGTCCCTGGTTCTGGCACAGAGTCCGAAACCCTGGGAATTTCCTAAGTAATAAGAGCTATAAAGGTGTTTTGTAGTCATAGCAAGCCCCTTTCAACCACACCCTAGTTTATGTTAAGGAGGTGACTTTTGGAAAGCACCTAAGGATGGGGCTGGTTACCAGGGGAACCAGCCATGTGACTAGATTAGTTGGAACCTTTAGTTTCAAGGAGAGGAGAGGAAGTGGAGGCTGAATTCAATCACCAATAACCAATGATTGCAGCAATTAGGCCTCTGTAACAAAGCCATCATAAAAAGTTCAGAGAGCTTCCGGTTGGTGAACGTGGAGATTTTAGGAGAGTGGTGCTCTCAGAGGCCATGGAGCTGCAAGTGCCTTCCCACATACCTCGCTCTACAAATCTCTTCCGTCTGACTGCTCCTGAATTACAGCTTTCCATAATATGATCAGTGATCTAGTAAGCATAATGTTTCTGTGAGTTCTGTGAGCAGCTCCAGCGAATTAATCAAACCCAAGGAGGGAGGGGATCGTGGGAACCTACTTTCTGTAGCCAGCAAGTCAGAAGCACAGGTAACAGCCTGGACTTGTGACTGGCATCTGGAGTGGAGGGCAGCCTTGTGGGACGGACCTTAATCGGCAGGAACTGTGTTGAACTCTAGGACACCCAGTTAGAGAATTGCATGGTGGTGTGGGAAACACACACACACACACACACACACACACACACACTGTAGTTGGTGTCAGGATTCTGCAGGGTGAAGGAGTAAAGGCAGAGGCAGGCAGGTAGGTTGGGGAATTGAAGGAAATAGAGAGGCGGGCATACAGATACCTAGAGAAGAGCATGCAGCCTGAAGAACAGCAGGTGTCAAGGCCCTGAGGTAGGAAAGGGCTTCGTGTGTTTCAGAGAGAAGCTACTGGGGATTTTGAGCAAAGCAGTGACATGACTGTATTTCCAGCTCCTAATTCCACTGGCTGCTGGAGAAAGCACTGAGTGAAGAAAGGACGTAGGGAACAGCGAGGAGCCGCTGCAGCCATCCAGGAGGGAGGCGGTGTCTGCGGGAGCCAGGGCTGAGCAATGAGGGCGCTGAGAGAGATGGCCACGCCTGGGATACAGAAAAAGCTGGTAGGATCCAACTCCACCCATTCCTAGAGACCAAGCCCCACGGCCCATGACTGAACACAGGGGCCAAATCCACTCTCTGCATTTATTTTTTTAATGCATTTTTTAAATCTTCACCCGACGATATTTTTTCCATTGATTTTTTTTTTTTTAAAGAGACTGGAGGGAAGGGAGAAGGGAAGAGAGAAACACCGATGCAAGAGAGACACATTGATTGATTGCCTCCCTCTCACACCCTGACCGGGGCCAGGGAATGAGCCTGCAACCGAGGTACATGCCCTTGACTAGGAATCGAACCCATGACCCTTCTGTCCATGGGCCGACACTCTCACCACTGAGCCAACTGGCCAGGGCCCTCTGCATTCATTTTTGACAGGTGTGTGTACAAATAATTATCATGGTAACAGGCTGAGGAAAGCGACAACTTACCTTCAGTCGGTAACTTTTATACAAAGGGGACTTCTCGTTTAAGAGCTTCTGTGTGGAAATATTGGTCCAGTGATCTGTTAGGAGAGAAAACTGAGGTCCATGTCACCAGTTCTCCCCCTTTGCCAGACAAGCAAAACCTCAGAAGACACCGGAGTCTGCCTGCAATTCCTATGCAACTCAAAAGCCTTTTCCATCCAAATGCTCGTTCAAACCTCACTGTGTCCTGATGAGTTCATGGGGGCAACTCAACACCCAGAAAACAGACCCAGCAGGTTAACACTACCCAGTCCCCCAGAGTCCCCCTGCCCAGAGTCTGCCCAGAGTCCCCCGCCAGCTCACGGCAGAGCTGGAGCCAGGTCTCCGGGTTCCCCACTCTCCCCCCAGCTGCTACAATCTAAACAAGTTGATTCTGTTAGTTAACTCCAACTTTGCTGACGTGAAAATGAATCACGGTCCTAGGCTCTATACATTCTGAAAATAGTCCTTTGGGGGTTTCCCATCAGGCTTCAAACTGCAGGCCCCCCTTTGCCCAGCAAACACAAGCACTGTAAACTGAGCACATCAGGAGCAACCGCACTAGGCGCAGCCTGCCCTCAGGGACCTCAGGTCTCCTGGCTCTGGAAACCTCCCGTGCAAGGCTGCTGAGGGGCCTCTGGGGGAGCACTCGCCGGCCCCTGGTGCCAGCTGCACAGCTTGACACAGACGGGCGGAGGCAGCGGTGACAGGGGACAAAGCAGGGTTTAAGGAGGTAGGTCAGAAGGGCCAGGACAGATTGGGCTCAGGTGTGAGAGAAGCTTCCAGATGAAATGGAGAAAAGAGGGATCCAGGGCCTTATGACAAGCATTTTCTGCTGCCAGGTCACCAGCCCCATCTCGCAAGGGCCGGAAGAGGCTTGAAAAGGAAATCCCAAGGGATGGAGTGTTGCCCACTAAAATGGGGCATGAGTGTGGGAGGAAGGAAGCTTAGTTGTGGCTGGGCTGTGCAGTGAACACGTTAGCCTGCCTGTGGCTGCCACTAGGCCCAGAGAGCAGGGGAGACAGTCACTGGACACTTGCCATATGCCTCACACTATGTACTCTCTTTCCATCTCACAGCAAAGCTATAGATTGAGTATGCTCATCCCTATTTGAATAAGGGAACTGAGGCACAGAGAGGTTAGGCCACGGGTTCAAGGTCACACAGAGCTGGTCTGTCCAACTCCTCCCAAGTTAACATGCTGCTGGGCCTACCTTCGTGTTTGTCCCCAGCCTTCAATCAGCATGTGGCATGGAAGGACGCCCGTCCAACAATTCAGCTTCATCTGCTCCCATCCACCACCTAACTTCCCATTCATCACCTCAGCTCAAAGACTACCAGGCCCCGCCCATGCCAACTCCTAGGGTGGCAAACAGTGACCAGAGCAGAGGCTGATGAGGCAGGAACATAGCAGGGTGCCAGCCCCCTGCTGCATCCAGGGCAGGATGCACTTTCTGTCCAACCAGGAGGGACACTGCCCCAACAAGCTTGGCAGGAGGTGTCACTGAGGCCTGGGAGCCCAGGAGGATGTCCTGTTCAGACACTATGACTTGGAAGCCCAAGGGGCCACTCTGGTGGTCTGGATGGAGCAACCTGGAAGCCTGACACTGTGAACTGAAGGTTTGATCCAGCTCAGATGAGTCCCCAAATGTCCCAAGCCCCAGGGCCTCAGCTTCTAGTGCCCCTTGGCAGAGCATCCCACACAGCATCCTTCAGTATTTGGTGAGCTTGGGGTGCAGCTTAGCAAGTGGTTCAAGTGCAGCCTCAGGAGCAGACCGCCTGCTCAGATCTCAGCCACCACTCAGCCGTGTGGGGCCTGGGCAAAAGCTCCACCCCTGTAATCCTCTGCTCCTCCGCTCTTCAAGGGCTGTGGCAACAGCAGCTCCCTCCAGGCAGTGGGTGGGGAATTAGAGGAGGTGATGTGCTCACTTTCAGGGCAGCTGCTCCACCCACCCCTAACCACCCAAAGGCAGCTCACCGCCAAGGAGAGCAGAACCCTCCTCACAATGATAGAGGAAGCTAGCACCAGCATCCTAGGGCCCAGAGCAGGTGAGTGACTTTCCAAGGTCACACAGCTGGCATGGGTTCCTTCTTCCCGGGATAAGGAGGGTCCTGAAGCCCCACTCCCCTGGCCCTTACCTGTACAACCTCCCACCTTCAGAGTGATTGCCTATCTCCTCAGCCCCCTCCTGCCTCCCGCTGTCACCCCATCTCCTCGGTTCCCACAGGCCGCTCTGAGCTGAGCATGTAGTGCACTGTTGCCCGAGCTTCTGAAGGAGCCAGGGGCCCTGGAGCAGGGAGGTGGGGAGAGGGAAGAACACCCCAGGGCAGAGCCATTCCCCAATGTGTTAGCTACCCCACTTGGAGGTCCTGGGGAGGATTCGGGGGTTGAACAGCCCATTGGCCACATTGTCGGAGGTGAAGACGATGACGTTGCCTTTGGTGTCTCCGAAGCAGAACACGCCTCTGTGATAGTCAGACCTGGGAAAGATGGAGACAGAGGCCATGGATCCGGCTGGGCGCACCCCGCTGCAGTCCTCACCCCCGCCCCGTGCTCCATGCCTATGAACACCCAGGGGCTGAGGGCAGTTCTTGCTCTCAAAGGCTGATGAACATGGGCCCAGCTACCCAGATCCACAACATCGATGAACCAGGGCCAAAAGAAATCAGCATTTTTTAAAAACCACCATCAATGAGTCCCTGGTCCTCCAGCTGCTCTTTGTCAAGTCACCCCTAGCGATAGACGCGATGCTTCCAGAGTCCTCGCCCGCAGTGGGACAAGCCTCTGCCAGGCTTCGGTGGCTGACTTGGTGGGAGAGGGAGAGGAAGAGGGCTGACGATGACTCTGTGGTCTGAGTGACGGCGAAAGGTGACCCTGAGAGAGAAGCAGCTTGGGGGAAAGAGGACACCGGCACACAGGATGGGAATCTCTCCAGGACTGTTTCCAGCAAGGCTTTCTGTGGGTTCCAACCCACTGACGGATGTGGCCGCTGCCAAGACCCTGCACCGATCTCCTATGAGACTCACCAGTAGTCCATAACCAGAGGGCAGCTGTCCAGATCGATGAAGGTGAAGGCCCGGGTACAGTTACGATTACTAACATCAAAGAACTCTGGGGAAAGACAGAGGAGAGGCATGCATAGAACCCAAAGCCACATCCCTGGCCTCGGGGTCTCTGGTGACAATGAGCAGTCACTGCTCACCACCCGGCAATACCCCCGAGGACTTTAATCTATGCTCAAAGTTGGCTCAGTGACAGATCTTCCCACATGCAGGTGCATGACTCCCAATGGCCAAGAGCAGGCGGGGCAGCCACCAGGGACTCACCTATCTTCTGGTCAGTGGACGCAATCGCAACTAGGTTCATGTTGTGGAGACATACCATGTCGATGACCCACATCTGCTGGTTGTAGAGCGGCTGTATCTGGTTAAGCTGGCCAGAAGAAGAGCAGAGACCTGGGCTGGGGAGGCTGCCCCCGGAGAACCCACCCTGCCAGCCCTGGAAGCAGGCAGAGACCTGGTCATGGAGCCCCGTGTGACCACCAACTACTAACAATGGAGCTTTAGATAAACGCCCTATCCTCGCCGAGTCTCAGTTTCCATGTCTATAAAATGGGCTTTAAAAAACTGGTATCTTTACAACCCTTTTTAGAGCAGTTTGACAAGCTCGTCAAAGTTTTAAATGTGCAGTTTGTGATCCTGGGATCCATTTCCAGGACACATCTATGGATATGCTCACATGTATTCACTGAGACATATATGCAAGGGGCACCACCCAGACATTAACTGTGAGGGAGCTGTGCACATACCAATAAAAAATAGTTGCCAAGATATATTATTACATGAAAAAGCAAGGTGAAAAGCACCAATATAATGTGCTATCATTTGCATATTTAAAATATATATTTTATTGATTTTTTACAGAGAGGAAGGGAGAGGGATATAGAGTTAGAAACATCGATGAGAGAGAAACATCGATCAGCTGCCTCTTGCACACCCCCTACTGGGGATGTGCCCATAACCAAGGTACATGCCCTTGACCGGAATCGAACCCGGGACCCTTGAGTCCACAGGCCGATGCTCTATCCACTGAGCCAAACCGGTTAGGGCCCATTTGCATATTTAAAAGGAAAGGGGGTGGTATATGTATACGCTATCTATGGAAGAGCACCCAAAACTAGTCACAGCAGTTGCCTCCCAGGAGAGGAACTAGGGTCTGGGGGAGGAAGACCGACTTTCCACTATCTGTCCCTCTGGATGCCTGAATCTTCCTCCCCCTCCCACCCCCCGTTTTATTGAGATATAATTGACATATAACAGTGTATTCGTTTTGTTTTGTCTGAATCTTGTTTGCCACCTGCTGGTGTCACCTGGTCACCGTGGCTAATTAAGGAGAAATCATCCTGTCAGGCTGTGAGGAAGTAATGGACTCAGAAAAGCTAAACTATCTAGAGTGCCCTTGGCAGGAGCTTGGCAGGCTCGGGAGCCCTTCCACGCTCTGGTGCCAGCCTCACTTAACACATGCAGGCAGATTTGAGCTGGCACTCCAGGCGGGGACACCACGAGCAAAGGCATGTCAGCAGAAATGAACTGCTATGTCCAGGGAAGAGGAGGCCGGCCTGACAGTCTTGGGTGGGAGGAGATGGGAGATGACTTTAGGGGTGGCCAGCTGAGAAACTTGTATTTTATTCCCTGAATAACACAGGTTCTGAACTGAAGAAAGAGAGGGGTTCCATCTGAAAAAAAAGGGAGGGGGCATTTTAAGGCCGCTCCTGTAGGTGGATATCCAGAAGGGATGGCAAAGGCGGAGGCAAGAAGCACAATGTTCCAACAAAACTCAGAGCACGAAAAGCAGAGGCCTGCACTACTGGCTGGGCAGTGAGGACAATGGACCAGGGCCCCCTGAGGCCCCTCTCTTGCCCAGGGCTGGGATCTAACCTGCGCACAAGGGAGGTGACAGTAACATCCGTCACCCGTGTTTAGATGAGACAGCGAGAGCCCTAGGGAGTCTCAGTGGCCTGCCTGAGGTTGCACAACTCATAGGTAAAGCCCAGACCCGGCCCCATATCCGTCCGGGCCTTCCATTTGCGTGACCATGGGTGTGCAGCTGGTGGTCATGGATGGTGACTCACTCTTGACACATCTACTTGAAAGCAGCCCCTGAGGGAAGAATGAATGCCCAGGTCTGTTGGACCTTCCAGAGGAGCCTCCCGCTGTCCTCCTTGGCCCTCCCAGGCTTTGGCCCTTGAAGGACACTAAGGGGGCCATGTAGCAGCCACAGCCAGGAGCTCAGGCTATAATGTGCCCCCCTCCCAATAAACACACAGAGAAAAAGTGTGTGGAGTGTGCCCGAAACTCCAGCCTCGGGAACACAGTACGAATCCCCCTTGGTCCTGGGCTCCCAAGAGCACCCAGGAGAGTCATTGGACATCCCCAGACTTTAGTTCCCACCATAGGCAACTGGGAGGCAGTGGGGGAGACCACCCAGAACCTTCCTGCCCAAGTCATAACCCCTGATGCAACTGGAAACGCTGCAGTTACACAGAGCTGATGAAGCCCTCACGCTGCTGGCGGCATCTCAATAAGCCTGTATTCTCCAGAGAGCTGCGCCTTCCTCATCTGCTAGACTGGCCTGGCAACACACACATAGTGGGTTTGCCTGAGTGTTCTGTCACTCACTGCGCTCGGCCAGGAACTGATGACACAAAGACAATGACGAGGGCAGCTTATGTGCATGGGGCGCTTGCTGTGTGCCTTGCCCTGCTCCAAGCGCCATGCATGTATTATGTCATCCATCCTCCCACTACCCTTGAGGGATTACTACCCCATTGGACAGATGAAGAAAAGGAGGCACGGAGAGCTCTATAGCAATTGGTCGGAGGTCACAGAGCTGGAAGGTGGTGCACAGGGGTTCTAAGCCAGGTAGTCAGGCTCCAGCGGCCAGGCTCACAACCACTGTGATTTCCTGCCTGGGCCAGGCAAAGGATTGCATCTGCAGGATTTGGTGATGGAGTGGGTGTAACAAAGAAAGGAAAGGGGGCTGATCTCCAACACAGAAACCTCTCACTGAGGTGGGGGCACAGGAGAAGCCTGGTTGGGCTGGGAGGGCCACCGTGACATTTAGTTTGGACAAACTGGGTTTGAGGTGTCTGTTGGACATCCACGTAGAATGGACATCAGGTGGGATCTTGCTTACAGAGGAGGAATATGAGGCTCATGGTCCCACGGTGAAGACAGAACCTGGACCCAGGAGTGTGACTGCAAGTGCGGACTGCCTAGTCCACAAACCCTGAGAAGGAGTCACCCTGAGCCACAGTGCGAAGGCAGAGGCTCTCTGACCACCCCATCTGTGCTCCACATGTGGGCCCAACTCACCTTAAAGGAGCTGATCAGAGAGAAGGACTCTGACCAGAACTGCAGGTTCCCGTCCTTAGTGACAGTCAGAAAATGCCCAATCTTCTTGAACCGCTGCATTAAAAACTCCACTTTCACAACCTCACACCCGTGATTCCTGTGGGAGGTAATGAGAGAGAGAAGAGCCCAACCAAAAATAGAACAGACTCAGAGGAGGAAGGGAAAGCAATCAGGAGTTCACACACACACACACACACACGCACACGCACACGCACACGCACACGCGCACCAGGCCCACTACTGAGAAACTCCAGCAGGCTCCAGGAGACGTGGGACCCTGCCCCTCATACTAGCGTCATATGTGGGAAGATACCCATGTATGACGCTGGTATGAGACAGGGCTCCCAAAGCAGGAAGCCTGTCCTGTGATATAGCCAGTCAGCCTCCACATCATGGGACGGGGAGATGAGACAGGCAGCGGCTTTTGCAGACCTTTTATTGGGAAAATGGCCCACAGAAGGCGAGGAGAGTAGGACTTGACTGGAAACTATAACATTGATTCTAGCAACTGCTCTGGTGCTCCAGAATGGAGAGAGGGGAAGTGAGCGAGGGTGCTACGAGACATCAGGGCCCCTTTGCATGACTCTCCCTCTCCAAGGACCTGCCCTGAGCACAGAAAACAGCTTCTGGGGCAGGCCAGGCCTCACTCAGCCTTCCCAGCAAGCCTCAATGCTGCCTTCCAATGGCTTCTTTCCTGCCACAAAGCTGGCTAAGCCGGAGATCTGGCAATTAAAGGGCACCACCATTTTGACTTTCCGACACCGCACACACTCCCATTTGATGTACCCTCACTTCTGGGCCCAGCAGAGCAGGTGATGTTATCTCACCTTGTGCTGGGAATTATGTCCTGGTTACCAACAAAGCTGGTAGCCACAGCCCTTTCCAAATGATGTGACCCATGGCTTAAAAATAACCCAGTCACCGTGAAATTCTACCGTGTTACTACCTCTGCGGAAGAGAGAGGGAGGTGCTGTCCTCTCCCTCCTGCTATCAGTCCATAGCTCTGTCCAGTTCCTCATGAATATTCTCAGTCACCCCTCTAGCTGTCACCACCCATTCTGCCTCTTCTGTCAGGGCCAAGAGTGTGAGGAACAGACACAACAGGTGAGAGCTACGAAGTGAGGCGCACCCTGGGAAGTGACACCCCATCATGGAGTCTTGGTCTCCCCGTCTCCACAATGGCAGCACCTCCACCTCCTAGAACTGGTGCATTTGGTGAACTGGGCCCAGGCTACCCTTTCATGAAGGTAATTGAACATTATTTGACTATGTTCTCCAACAACCTGGAGATGTCCTCCAGGTTGTGGGTTGAGCATATAAACAGGAGAACACGGGCAAGCTTCTTGGCATTTTGGTCCAGGCCTTTTATGCACCCTCGGAATTCAAATGTCCAAGAAAATAGACTGGTGACGGCTTGGCTACATCAAGCAAAGCTTCCAGGTCAAAATTTAAGATTATAAAATCTTTCATCATTCATGTACATGGGCTATTCCTCAATTAAATCTTGACCAAAATTTATGTAATGTACCCTTTCACACTTTTCATTTAAACCATGTTCTCTATTAAACTCCAGGTTGCTGAGGTCAGGGGCTGCCTTCTAGTTTGTGGTGCTCCCCATGGCCTGCTCTGGGGATGGTCCCCTGAGGACAGACCCACCATGGCCCTTCCTGACCAGGCCGCACATGCCTGTATCACAGGATCTGGCTCCTGGTCCCAGCCACCTGCATCAGGCAGCTGGCGCTCCCACACAAGGTGCGCTCTGGGAAGGGAGCCAGCGGCCCAGCATTCCTCACTCTTAGGGTGTTTTGAAGGGTAGGGACTAACAGGCCACAGCACAGAGAGAGGATGAGAAGTTCCAGAGGGCACAGCAGGGGAGGAGCTACAGGAGCAGCGAGCAGGCAGGGTCAGGCTGAAGTCAAGGCAGGGACAGCTGCATGCTCCAGGAGTGACAGAGGGGCCGCCCTCCCCCTCCCCCAGGCCTGGGCAGGCAGAAGGAGCAGTTTCCTGCCGTGGCTCTTAATCCCTGTCCCCACTGTGTGAGGCATCTGTGTCCTGTGGATGAAACTGCCAGGTGTATTCAGCCCCGGCCCCAGGAGGAGCCGGGTTGGGGAAGCTAAAGGCTGAGGGGGCAAACAGAACCACCCACTACTTCCATTTGACCTCTCTGAACCTCAATTTCCTCATCTGTAAAATGGGGACAAATCACTTACCTAATGCTCATGCCCACCTACCCAGTCGTGAGGCTGATAGGAGCTAAAGGACATCAAGCACCAGGCCCAGTGTCAGACCCTTGGTAGCCCCACAAGGGTGGCTCAGGGATTTCGGAAGGGCACTAGCTGCATGGCCGGCACAGCCTTGTGCAGAACCGCCCTTTCGGCCCAGGGAGAGGCTCCTTACATGGGGATGATCTTCATGGGCAGGTGGAAGTGCAGGTGGTACTGGCTCTTCCTCATCAACTCCTTTCCCTGGAACTCGTGCATCATATAATCCACACAGTTCGACTGCCTCGAGAAGAAAGACGAGGCAGGGAGGGTGTTGGCTCAATGGTCTGAGCACTGGGCTTTGGGAACCCAAGCTCAGCTTCCAGTATTCTCCCCCAACTCTCCCAGCCCCTCCCAAGGGGCTCTGGGAGCCCCACCCCCACCCAGGCTGGCAAAGGGAAGCAGCCTAGCAACAGTGCTGCTCTTGCATCTGAATTGGGTGAAGGGCTTATTGGCAAGTATTTGTGAAGACAGCATAGCAGCGCGCCTCCCTCCTTAAAGCTTTTTCCTAACGCTAAATCACCAAGTTTCAACTTTTCCATCTCACGGCACACATAAACTAATTACTAAAATTCCGCAGCACACCAAAAATATGTATTTTTTGCCGATCTGACAAAAAAAAATAAGTATAATTTTGGTTCATTCACACCAGATGGCTATTGTTGTGTTGGCTGTTGTTTGTTTTTTTACAATCCAAGGGTAAAAAGACAGTGCCCCTGACTAACAGTCAGGTGTTGCATCGGCACACTGGTTGAAATTCTTGTGACACACTGGTTGAAATCACTGTGCTATATACATCTTCACATCACTTCCACATGTGGCATCTCATCTGAGTGTTTATTCACCCTACTTTATGGACAATAAGACTGTGCCCAGATAAGTATAGATGAGTTGCCCCAGATCATTAACAGCAAGGGAGGACCCATAAGCCAGGCCACTAGGGCAACTCTAGACTCTACTGTTCAGCCTCATGAAAACATCGCCAAGGCCAAAACGGGCCCCAGGTGAATCTATGACAAGAAATAGGGAGTTATTAAGAAATATCATTGAAATATTTGACAAAGGAAGCAAGAACATACAATGGAGTGAAGACAGTCTCTTCAATAAATGGTGTGGGGAAAATTGGATACATGCAAAAAAATGAAACTAGACCACCAACTTACACCATACAAAAAAATAAACTCAAAATGGATAAAGGACTTAAACGTAAGATGGGAAACCATAAAAATCTTAGAAGAAGCCATAGGCACCAAAATAGCAGACATTTGTTGTAGCAATATCTTTACTGATACAGCTCCTAGGGCAGGGGTGGGGAACATCCGGCCCCTGGGCCATATAAGGACCAAGAAATAGTTGGTCTGGATCTGCCAAGGCATTAGGGGTGAGTTAATTAAATGTTTGACCAAATACAGCAGGCTAATTTTTAAGTTAATAATTTTGTATGGTCTTCAAATGATGTTATAAATATCCAAATGGCCCTTGGCAGAAAAAAGGTTCCCCACCCTTGTCCTAGGGCAATGGAAACCAAGGAGAAAATAAACAAATGGGACTACATCAAAATAAAAAGCTTCTGCACAGCAAAAGAAACCATCAACAAAACAACAAGAAAGCCCACTGCATGGGAGAACGTATTTGCCAATGTTATCTCCGATAAGGGTTTAATCTCCAAAATTTATAGGGAACTCATACAACTTAACAAAAGGAAGATAAATGATCCAATCAAAAAATGGGCAAAGGACCTAAATAGACACTTTTCAAAAGAGAACATAAGGAAGGCCAAGAGACATATGAAAACATGCTCAAAGTCACTAATCATCCGAGAGATGTAAATCAAAACAACAATGAGGTACCATCTCACACCTGTCAGAATGGCTATCATCAACAAATCAATAAACGACAAGTGCTGGAGAGGATGCAGAGAAAAAGGAACACTCGTACACTGCTGGTGGGAATGCAGACTGGTGCAGCTATTGTGGAAAACAGTACGGTGTTTCCTCAAAAAATTAAAAATGGAACTTCCATTTGACCTAGTAATCCCACTTCTAGGAATATATCCCAAGAAAACAGAAACACCAATCAGAAAGGATATAAGCACCCCTATGTTCATAGCAGCACAATTTACAATAGCTAAGATTTGGAAACAGCCTAAGTGCTCATCAGCAGATGAGTGGATTAAAAACAAACAAACTGTGGTACATCTACCCGATGGAATACAACGTTGCTGTAAAAAGGAAGGTATTCTTACCATTTGCAACAGCATAAATGGAACTGGAGAGCATTATGCTAAGCAAAATAAGCCAGTCAGAGAAAGATAAATATCACATGATCACACTCATTTGTGGAATATAAAGAACATCATAAACTGATGAACAAAAATAGATACAGAGACAAAGAAGCATCGAACAGAGTGTCAAACTACAGCGGGAAGGCAGGGAGGGTGGCGGTGGGGAACGTAAGAGATCAACCAAAGGA